AGATTTGGTATTAATTATTGTTTCAATATTTAGCGCACATCGATAGTGTAAAATCATTATTTTTATAAATAATTATTAAATAATAGGCATTTCGGTATAGGCCGCGTGGCGCCGTGGGGAGCGGTGCGATAAAACTCAATATTTTGTTTCTGGATATCTAACCTATACGGTTGCGATGTATGCTACGAAATTTTTAGCTTTCTAAATTATACTTATATATTTGTGATTATATTATTATTACATTATTTTAGTAAATACGTATACGATAACAGTCAATTTGTTACATAATCGTCTTTACGAACTATAACGTGTCAATACGAAGTTTCAGATATTAAATAATGTATATGTTGATAGAGAACAATTCCGTATTTGCTTAACATATGCTATTACTATCCACAAATCACAAGGCCTTAGTTTTGCCAGTCCTGAACATTGCCTCCTCTATATTTAATAAAGGGCAGGTTTACGTTGGACTCTTCAGAGTTAAAACCTTAGATGGAGTACGTCTTAACAATTTTGATCAAAGTCACGAGAGCTCTATTGTAGAGTACAACCATCTGTGGACGTTATACCGCCCCGATTTGCCCAAAAATTCCTGATACTGAATTGGCATTGCACTTGAACATTTAAAAGTTACAAGAAAATATAGAAAATAACACAAAAAAAAGACAATTATATCCCGTAAATATACGAAAATACAGTAATTTATCAAAAATAATTTGGTATTAATTTAGTTATAAATAAGTACCTCGTATAATTTATGTACAAAAAGTAATGATATCCCATCAAAAACATAAATGTGAAATGATAGCCGAGTTTAATATTATGATATATGGCTTGATTGTTGACTTCTACGACAAAAGAGATGAGATCTAAATGGGTGCCAAGTTCAATGGTCTGTCCTGAAATGTATTTATAACAATATAAAATATCATTTCTTCTTATAACTTAGGATAATATACTGTAGCCTAAGGTCTAACTTTGCTAGTTTTCATATACGAAATATACTGTAGCCTTCGCAAGTTCTAAACATGTTACTTGTCGGTTCCTATTTTAATATTAATAGTAACTAGCAATCGAAAGTAATAATTGGTATATGGCCAAGTTAGACCTTAGGCTACAGTATATTATCGTAAGTTATAAGAAGAAATGATATTTTATATTGTTATAAATACATTTCAGGACAGACCATTGAACTTGGCACCCATTTAGATCTCATCTCTTTTGTCGTAGAAGTCAACAATCAAGCCATATATCATAATATTAAACTCGGCTATCATTTCACATTTATGTTTTTGATGGGATATCAGTTGTTAGATAAACAACTAATATATATATATACTTTTTAATATACAATCGATTTGTTTACATAAAAATTTTAAATTAGTATATAAGGTGAAGTTATATGTATATATAGTAGATATAGAACCTTAGCTAAGTCTATTTTCGTAACTGTTTTTTTTTTGCACAATAAACTTATTATTATTATATACTCTTTTTTTGTAAATAAGCATATACATAGATAACACCCAAACCGATGCTATATGCAAACCCAAATCATATTAGTGAATATATATATATATATACTTTTTACGATCGGAAGTAAATCGGTGTGCTAAAAGGGGGAAGGGGATTGTTAGTAATGTGGATTGATAACCCCATTGCTAGCCAAGATAGGCATAACCTATTTGAAATTACCTATGAGCGACCTAACAAATCAGCAGGTATTACTAGGGAGTTTCTATGTACTCACAGAAACCCCTTGGATGTATATATACAACGGGATATACTCGACCAACCTCCGGATTAGGTCGCTGAGGCTCATGGAATACGACAGCAAAGTCATACCATCGGACCAAAGCAGGACTCTATACCTGGTTCATACCCAAGCGGAGAAAGCAAAGCTAATATCCGAGGGATATGGAATGGACGAGGAGTTAAAGTACGATTCATGAGGCCCAGGGACTGACATCGGAGAGGGTTATTATCATCAATACTAGAAGTAAACCCTTGGAAGTGCATGGCAGCTACTCTCATGCCGTGGTAGCCATCACCAGGCACACAGGCGACTGCGTATATTATACGAGAAATCGAGAAGACGCAGTTGCTCGTTTTATACAAGAGGCCGAAGGCGCGACTCACTCGGACATTCGTGAGTACTCACTGCAGATGGCGATTAAAAATAGAGACAGGGCGATTGTTGATGCGCTGATTGCGCTAAAATAATCAGCACATAGAAAACCAGAACAGCTGATGCATCGTCGGGGCGCTTTGGACTGGAAAGGCCGGAACATGCTCGCTAAAAGTATAAATAAAAAAAAAAAAAAAAAAGAAAGGAAAGGAAAAAAGAAGGAAGAAAGGAAAAAAGGGGAAAGGGAAGTGAAAAAGGGAAAAAAAAAAATTGCCGAATTACGACAAAAAGTGAACTGTGAAATTAAACAATCAATAATTAAACAAAACCTGGACTATAACAAATAGTGAACTTTGAAAATAGTGTTAAAATAAGAATTCATATAATTGTATAAGCAGTGTAAGAATTCATAATGTGTATTGTTACATTATGAATTCTTACATTAGTGAAATTAGTAGTAGTGTAAGATTTATATAATTGTATATGCATATTGATAAATCTAATCTTTCAAATAAAGATGGGTGACACTGCATGTTGTCAACTCACCCGGCCGGCCAGCGGTGGTTCTGGGCCAGACGGATAAGGTCTGCCTAGGTGTCACTGTTAGGCAAATTGTAACATCTCGGCTGGAGTTGTACAAAAATGGAAATTAAATAAATATTATAATATTAAAGTAAATTAAAAAAGGCACGGACGAATATGTCTGTGGAAAAATGTATTTAAATATAAAAAAAAAAAAAAAACCCCATTGCTAGCAATGTACAATGTCAGGTCGACCTCCACGCGGTTCCCCCTGGAAACTGAATTTGCACGATGGGCTAACTGACCTGACCTCATGCTCATCCTATCATCCTCCACTGGTGCCCCGCCAGCGTAAACCGTTAGCGCAGGCGGGTGCACCATTCCATTATCAACCCTAAAAAAACCGCTAGACTACCGAGGCCGTCAAATGAGTGTCTGTATGTACACCACTAGTTCAAATATGTTCTTTCTACCATCTTACGTACCTCAACGGAGTTGGGCCATGATTTAGTCATCTCCCTGGAGGTGGTGTCGAGGTATCTAACATACTCTCGCCGCCTGACAGTATCTGGATCCTCCCGATCCAGCTCGCTGCAGCGGGTGATGCGGCCCCACTCCTCTTTACTTAGCGCTATAGGCATTGCTGTTAATGACAAAGATGAATGTGTGAATGAATGAAAAACTCTTTATTGTTCCTCTCATAGAAAGAAAATAACAATTACATACATTAATATAGTACATAAAAAAAACAACAATAACATTATAGAAGTAACAATGGGCGGCCTTATCGCTAAATAGAGATTCCTTCTAGGCAACCTTATGCTACGTTTACACTCAGCCCGAGTGGGCAGGGATGTGAGCAGCGCAAGAGTTTAAACACGATACTTCCCATACTATTGGCGCTGCCCTTTGCGCTGCCCGGTTTTTCGTGCGCGAGTCAAAGGACTGGCAGCGCGAGTGGCAGGGGAAGCGGCTGAATGTAAACGTATCATTAGGATGGAGAGGAGTGATTAGACTGTGTCCGGTCGGGCCATAACAATTATTTAAGTATTATTAAATAAATACAAATTACATAGAATAATGATATGATTCTTTTAACCAGAATAATAAGTAAATAAGCTCTTTTGAATAGTCATACTTATTTTTTTAATGTATCGCTGATTCGGAACAAAATCATGCTAATGAATAGAAATATTTGCACCGTGCGAGTAATAGAACACGGCAACATCGAAGTAATGTGTTGTGTTATACCTCTAAACTACCGATTTGTCATTAATTGATGGGGTATTATGGACACCATTACATCTTTGTACATAAGTTCTATTTTGTCAATATTATTAATTATTACATTTATGCTCATTAAAGAATGAACATAAAACACTAAAAAAGTACGTAATACATTTGCGTGAAGGTAAACGGCAGGCGTTGTACTTTTTACCTTAATATTAAACTCCTAAATATAATAGTTTTTGATATAAGTAAGAGATATTGTTCATATAATTTTACCGTGTCTGTCAAACAATAAATAATTATGAAAAATTGCTGTTTGATGTTATATTTCATAAAATCTATTATTAATATTTAATATTGTTAGCAAATAAAGGGTTTTCTAATAATAGTTGACACTGTTTTGCTTTTTTTCTTTCTTTATGATATTCACTGACATTGTTTAAGAGTCCTTGTTATAATTCTATCCAACCTATGTTAATTATTAGAGCATAAGTACCTAACTACCTGATTATTTAGGCTGTATAACTTACTATTTTTGCTTTTTATGCTGCTCTTGTTCTAAAGTAGATGGTCGTTTATGTTATAGGTACATAAAAGAATAATTTTGAAATCAGTAAATAAATAAGTATTTATGCTTTATAGTCTCTTAAAGATGTTGCATTGCAAGCAGTGCATTGATTTGCATTGTTGTTGGCATGGAAACAAAATGCTTTCGATGTAGGCACCTATTTCATGTTCAAATAATAATATAAAAACAGTTCTTGCCACAGAATCCCTAATGTGCTTGAAGACGTCTCATACTTGACATTATTCTATACTCGAGAGTTATTATGTTAGCATTATAATTAATTATTTAAGTACGATACAATTGAATTCATAACTATTAAAAACTACTTAAGAAAAATATTGAATAGAAATTCAATATATATTTTTTTAATAATTCTTTATTCATGACCACGGACACAAGAACTTCAATTAAACATTTTAATGCATATAAATAACATGAAAATTCAAACAAATTTACCAATAATTCATTACATAAGATTACATCTTAAATATCCTAATGTCATTATATACATGAACAATGTTCATAACTGTCAATGTCAAAATGTGAAGTGTCACATTGTATGTTTTTCACCAGTTTTGACGTCAGCCACGTTGGAAGTGCCAACTCGGTGTTTTTATGGTAAATATTGCATTTTTCTAATTAAAATGCTGTTTATTGAGTGTAAAAATAAAAATTCAAAATTTCCTCTATCGTAAAGTTAATATACTCAAACGGAACTCGACATAGTTTGCTAGTTGTACTCGTAAGAAAAGTGTGACATAATTTGGTAAATACTCCGATTTAGTGAGTTTTTCTTGGTTATTAAACTTGTTACAGTGAAATAGTGGCTCTAAGATGAAGTTGAAAGAGTTGAAGAAAGCAGTGAACATTAGCTGGTCGCCAGCGGAACACTATCCCATATTGTTGGCGGCCGGCTCAGCGGCACAGCAGGTTGATGTTTCTTTTAGTTCCAATTCTTGTTTGGAGCTGTACTCCTTGAATCTGGACGATCCTGGACTTGATTTGGAACTGAAGTCCAGTTTACAGACACAAAACAAGTAAGTTGTTTGTTCTATTTAAGAATATTACATGTCATTGATGCTTGTAATTTCTTAGTTATTTTCTAAAACAATGAGAATAAATGTAGTGATACACTTTGTGATATACATCTATTCCTGTTTTTGGACAGAAAATTATAGAAGATTAAAATTTTAATATTAATCTAATACTATTTTTTTATCATCTGTATATGTTATTTTAAAAGACAGTTCTTAATGTTATTTTAATTACATACTAATTATTATTAACATTACTATTGTACCGTTTCTTATTTGATGATGCTGTAATAAAATATTACTTCCCAACTCAGACTCTAGGTCTGTGAGTCTGGAATGTAGATAAACAAAACTAGTGTCCTATAATAGAAGTTTTGTAGATGATTTTACTTATTTTTATTCCATATAATGTCTTGAAGAATTATTTATTCTTAGCAGGATTTTTCAGGAATTAATTATAATGAAATGTACTTAATTTATCTGACTTTGCTTTGGTGGTCTAGCAGTTAATCACACTGCCTTACTTCTAAAGGGTATAAGTTTGATTCCTCACATGGTACAAACATTTATATACATGAGTATGTATTGTTTGTATTGGTCTGGATGTTTTCTGTGTATATTACATATTTACAAAAATAATGTATTTAAGTATTTAGAAAAAAAAGGTATTAAACAACAGATAGATAATCAGTTGTCAATACCAATAACACAAGCACTGCTTAACTAGTGATGAGATGGTGCTATGTGAATTATTAATTAATGGTTTAGAGTGGATATATTGTAATTTGTGGTTTTCCAGAATATTTTATACATTGTGTATAAGTTTTTTTATTATTTATTTTTTTATTTATTTACATTTTATGGTCTTTGTACCCACCACAATACTATTAAAATTGTTTAAGGAATTTATTTATCCAAATGGGACCATATAGAAATAAAATTAAATTTGAAACATACTTGAAATTATATGGAAAAATAAAACTTAAGTAAGTGAATTTGTTCCATATCAGAAATGACTAAATGTTCCACACATTTAGACATCTCTGACCAATTAATCTATATATATGAAAATGTATTGCTGTTTGTTGTCGCTAAAACTCAGAATGGCTCAACCGATTTGGCTAATTTTAGTCTTACAATATTCATGGAAGTCCAGGGAATTGATTAGAAAATTATATGTAAAATAGAAAAAAGAACAATTTTATTTTCCCATACAAACTGCTCATACCTATCAAACTGCATGCAATAAATTTCTGAATGCACCCTGCATTCAGAAATTTATTGCATAAACTTAAAAAACCTTTGACATATTTAATTTTAGGTGGAATGGAGTTCCCATGGTTAGCTAGTTATTTATAAATACATTAATTAATGAAGGAATTATTAAGAATTAATATAACACTCTCAATGTACCACATTTTATACAATAATAATTCATTTAAATAAAAATGGAACTTAAAATATGGAAAATAAATATATATACTTATAAATAAATATTAAAATTAAATATTAAAATCGTTTATTCATGTAGGACACTATGTATATTTACCGCTTAGGATTGTCAAATTTTTTACATTATAAGTTTTCCCCTACCATACAGTTTAGTATAGAGATACAATTGAGAAGAACTGGCAAGAAACTCAATTGAATTACTTTTTTTTCATAAGCCAGTTCTTTACAATGTACAAGGTGTCTATGTCTAACATTAAATGAAAATCCCGTGCATGAACAACTATTGCCATGCACGCTCGTCATTCAAGTAATCATTTAGTGAGTTATTAGAGAGTCTAACTCTCTTTAAGGCTTTGCTTATATAATAATTATATTTTTGAAAAATATGTGTTATGTGGATGTTAAAGCTATAATATAATAACTTATTTTCTAGATTCCAGAAGATTGTATGGTCCGGTGCAGGGGTCATAGTGGGGGGTTGTGATGGTGGTTTGCTCGAGTTCTACAATGCGGAGAAACTACTTAAAAATAGCAGTGATGCCTTACTCGGCAGTATCACAAAACACAATGGTGAGACATTTTCATTGTATTATATTTACCATATCATATATATGCACCTCATATATACACATCTATACTAATATTATAAAACTGAAGAGTTTGTTTGTTTGTTTTTTGTTTGAATGCGCTAATTTTAGGAATTAGTGGTTCGAATTGAATTTTTTTTGTGTTGGATAGTCCATTTGTTGAGGAAGGTTTTAAGCATTATATATCATTATTTAACATTATGCTACAACCAATGGAAGAGAAGCATCGGTGAAAAATGTTGTGGAAGCAAAAACGGGGTAACCACATGAACGGAGTCGTGGGCACAGCTAGTTATTAATACAGATAAAAATGTTTTAACATGAATGACTGATATACCTGACAGAGTCAGCTCATGACCATTGCTATATAACATAACTAAAATAAAAGTAGCCTAAGTTACTCCTTATACTGCTCTCTATCCTTAGAAGTTTTAGGTTTTAGATATTTATTCTCATTAAGAATTACAAATAATTCACTTAACGTCAGAAAATAAAAATATAAACGTATACAAAATTAAACAGTAGTGAAAATATAAAAGAAGGTATACATATAATGCACACAGTGGAGTAGCAAAATGTAAGCGGCAACTACCCGCATAAAGGATAACATTTGTTGATTGACTTACTGGCTCAGCATAGACGGTCTTAGCGGTATATGGGTGTACTATGCTAAATATGGCTAGTTTGAAAGCTTATTAAATTTTTTTATAAGGCTCTGCATCATTTTATATTATCTATGTTTTTGTGGAGAAAAATAAATATATTGCATTATATAGTGCAAGTCTTGTCAGAAGAATCTAGCTGCTTCAGAGATTATATATAGACAAATATATATTTTTTTTTTTAATTAACCCTAGACATATAAATAAATATAATCTTTATTGAAATAAAAACTTAATATAAGCACTATCCAAATGCAGATATAATAATATAATTTCATTAGCATTCATTTAAAAGCGGTAAATTACAAAAAGACATCAATTTTATTTACTTATACATATATATAAATGATAATTGGTTGCTGGTCAGTTAGTTTACTATTTTTGCACATTCTTCTCGTGATGAGTCTTTCAGAATTTTTTTTTTAATATGATTTATTAATTCAATTAAAATAATAAATTTAAGTATTTTACTATAAAAAATACTACATGTATTGTTGCCATTATGTTTGTGAGGAGAAATAAATAAATCATATTAAAAAAAACAAAGAATGAGTAATAGAATAAAAAAAAATATGACTATTTCAATTCAAAAGTATTTATGTAAAGTTTATTTGAATAAAGATGATTTCTATTTCTATTATGAATGTACATTAACTCATTCAGTTACCAATTGGTTGCTGGTTAGTTAGATTATTATTCTTGCATATTCTTCTTCCAATGAGTCTTACGTTCATAATGAGTGATAGAATAAAAAAATATGACTTTAAATTCAAAAATGTTTATATTAATTTCATTTGCGTAAAGATGATTTCTATTTCTATTATGTATGTACAATAACTTATTCAGTTACCAGTTACTGATAACCCCTTATCTCCCACATTGTACTATTTTTTTATGAATGTGTTTCTATAGTTTGTTTTTACTAGAAATGATCAGTATCGTAATGACGAGCGTGCATGGCAATAGTTGTTCATGCACGGGATTTTCAATTAATTAGACATAGACTACCTATATAGAGAAATTGTAAATGAACTGGCTTTTAAAAAAATTCAATTGAGTTTCTAGCCAGTTCTTCTCAATTGGGTCTGGACTGAACTGGACGGTAGGGAAAAAATTAAAATATAAAAAAAATTACGTTCATAAGCGGTTAAAATGTCCTACATGAATAAATGCTATTTGTATTTGAATATCTTATAATGCAAGAAACCTGAATAAGTATTTTTTAGCATTATAAAGTGGGAAATTAGAAAATGCTGCTTTTATATGAGCTGATGGCCTCTGTGTTCTAGCGGTTTAGCACACTACCTTACTTTTCGATGGTTGCAGATTCGATTCCTCAAATAGTACAAACATTTTATATTCATGAGTTTGGTTCTTTGTATTGGTTTGTGTGCTTCCAAAGTATATTATGTATGTAAAAAAAAAAATACGTTTTTATATCAGTTTTTTAGTAACCAGTAATAGTTTTTTTTGGAAATATTATGTACATATTTACAAAAAAACTGAATCTATGTGCTTCTGTCAGTTGTCTTCAAGTACTCATATCACAAGCTCTGCTTAGCTTTGAACTAGATGGCGTTGTGTGAATTGTCTTGATATATTATTATAGTTCTTGAATGTAATTTAACAGGCAATGTATCAGCACTGGATATCAATCCATACCAGAAGAACCTGCTCGCATCTGGAGCGTCTGAGAGTGAGATCTTTGTGTGGGACCTAAACCACATCAGTCAGCCAATGCCGCCGGGCAACAGAAGCCAGCCGTATGATCATGTGCAGGGGCTCGCATGGAATCAACAGGTATGTCAATTTATTTATTCATTCATTCATTCACACACTCATTCACTAAATCATTCATTAATCCACATACTCACTCACTAACTCATTCATTAATCCACACACTCATTCACTAACTCATTCATTAATCCGCACACTCAATAATTAATTAATTTAAACCTCTTAATTTCTGAGTACGAAGCTAATTATTTATTCATAAATTGTTTCAAGATGCCTGACCAGCCTTCTCGAGGGAATCTAATGCTGTGCTAAACTGTTGTAAAGTCATGTCAAGTCATGGAAAACAAAAAAAAATCCATTAGAATTCAAATTTGTACTGACGTTTTTTTATGTAATTATAATGGTGAAGTATTTGACGGCCCGGCGAAGTGACCGTTAATTATATACTTTATGTATATAATTAACGGTCACTTCGCTTATGTACCAGATGTCTAGTGCCTATAACACTATACTTATCTTGAGATTTGATGGCGCTGTGTGAATTGTCCAGGGATACTCGTTCGAGTCGTATAATAATAACAATTATTATTGTAAACGGGATATGTACCGTGACAATATTATTCAAGAACAAATAGAAAAAGAGAATCACTTATTCAAATAAACTTACATCGAAGCGCTTTTGAATAATCGTCCTTTTTTTTTTAATCTACGGCTCATTTGAAAAGTCGCAACACTAGAGGAACGAGCACGAAACTTGCATGTAATTTTACATTTTTAAGTTGAAATGCGTGAATATCTCCCGATATTTTGACGCTGTTTCAAACCTAGTCGTATTGTTGTAAATACATCGTTTCTATAATGTCTATAGTAATGCATACTAATTGATTATTCATACATTTTAGGTTCAACACATTCTTGGTTCGACATTCACAACACGATGCGTCGTATGGGACTTACGGAAGAATGAACCAATCATGAAATTGAGGTATGTGTGTGTTTACTATATATCAATACTTGTTGTATTAGTACATGACATAATTATTGTAGGGAAGTTATTTTTTTTTAAGTAAAGGAAAGTTAGGTAGGTAATGAGTGAGGATGTTACAGTGACACCCAGTCCCGAAGCCGCTGGCGCACGTTGGCGTGGCACCCGTCCGTCGCCACGCAGCTCTGCATCGCCTCCGAGGACGACCACGCGCCCGTCATACAGCTCTGGGACTTGAGGTAATATACTCTACTACCTACTCATCTCATTCTCCTCTATATATGCACTACCTGTACCTCATGTCACTTACCGTGCAATATTTTGCAACTTATATATGTAATGTAATATCCTTCGAGTTGTACCGAAACTGTAAATTCATAAGTCGTTGGTTCAGATCCGGCTCGAAGGATCAATGTTCGTGTTGTACCGAAACTATAAAAGTTTCTGATAGGTGTTATTGATTAGATGATGCTGTGTGGGTTGTGTTTAGAAGTGTGATTGTGTGGGGGCAGGCTGGCGGCGTCCCCGCTGGCGACGCTGGAGGGGCACCACAAGGGCGTGCTGGCGCTGTCCTGGTGCCGCCAGGACCCCGCGCTGCTGCTGTCCGCCGCCAAGGACGGCCGCCTGCTGCTCTGGGACCCCAACGACACGCAAGCCGTGAGATACCTCGTTCATTCATATACCACGCTCTTACATTTGTGATTTGCCAACAGAAGAACAGAAATAGATTTTAAATTGCTGTTTAAAGTCTATTTCTGTTGGTTTCGTTCCATAATACAACTTTTAACCCTATTAGAAGTCTTGACTTCTGGCTCGCAGACTATAAAGTTAGCGGATTGTTGTAATGTTGATGGTGTAAGTAAACTTGTGGGTGCAGGGCGGCGCGCAGCCGACGGAGGTGTGGCAGCAGCAGCAGTGGGCGCTGGAGGCGGCCTGGAGCCCGCGCTCGCCCGCACTGCTGGCCGCCGGCGGCGCTGACCTCACCGTGCTGGAGCTGCTGGGCGGACGGGCACCCGCCACGGTCGGTACCTTCCTGTGTCGTACGTACGGAGGCTCGGTAGATGTTTACGTCACTCGTTGCAATTGGAGAGCGATCTTTTCAGTTGCAACTAGTGACGCAAATATTTTAAGACTCTTTGTGACGTGAGTGTTTTGTTTGTACAGAGTAGCGCGGCACAGAGCAGCATCCTAGAGTCATTCGGCGGCGCGCAGTTGGGCTCGCTGCCGGCGCTGGCCGCCGCGCCCCCCGCCCGCGCCGCGCTGCCCCCGCGCGCGCCCGCCTGGCTGCGGCGGCCGGTCGCGGCGCGCTTCGCGGTGAGTACCCCCGCCCCCCGCCCCCCGCCGCGCCCCCCGCCCGCGCCGCGCTGCCCCCGCGCGCGCCCGCCTGGCTGCGGCGGCCGGTCGCGGCGCGCTTCGCGGTGAGTACCCCCGCCCCCCGCCCCCCGCCGCGCCCCCCGCCCGCGCCGCGCTGCCCCCGCGCGCGCCCGCCTGGCTGCGGCGGCCGGTCGCGGCGCGCTTCGCGGTGAGTACGCCCGCCCCCCGCCCCCCCGCGCCGCGCCGCGCGCGAACAAAACCCAACGATTTCGAATGAACCCTAGTATGAATCCAAGGTGTCCAATGTCGTGCCCCCGAGCATGCCTCGCGCGCGCCCGCTGCGACTGTCGCGTCAGCGTCTTCACCGCCGACCGATACGATGGGCCACGTAGGCTGAATTAAATAAATAAATAAAACAATATGTTGTCAACAGTTCGGCGGCAAGCTGGTGACGTTCTGTGCGAGCGGGCCGGAGGCGGCGGCGCGCGCGCGTGCGTGCGGTGCGCGTGCTGCGTCGCGGCGTGCGCGCGCGCCCGCTGCGCCGCGCGCGCCGCGCCATGCTCGACGCGCTGCTGGCCGCCGACACCGCGCACCACGCGCTCGCTGAGAGAGCACTCTATCTAAATATTTACATACTCACCGCGCTGCTGGCCGCCGACACCGCGCACCACGCGCTCGCTGAGTGAGCACTCTATCTAAATATTTACATACTCACCGCGCTGCTGGCCGCCGACACCGCGCACCACGCGCTCGCTGAGTGAGCACTCTATCTAAATATTTACATACTCCCGGAGTTGCTGGCCGCCGACACCGCGCACCACGCGCTCGCTGAGTGAGCACTCTATCTAAATATTTACATACTCACCGCGCTGCTGGCCGCCGACACCGCGCACCACGCGCTCGCTGAGTGAGCACTCTATCTAAATATTTACATACTCACCGCGCTGCTGGCCGCCGACACCGCGCACCACGCGCTCGCTGAGTGAGCACTCTATCTAAATATTTACATACTCACCGCGCTGCTGGCCGCCGACACCGCGCACCACGCGCTCGCTGAGTGAGCACTCTATCTAAATATTTACATACTCACCGCGCTGCTGGCCGCCGACACCGCGCACCACGCGCTCGCTGAGTGAGCACTCTATCTAAATATTTACATACTCACCGCGCTGCTGGCCGCCGACACCGCGCACCACGCGCTCGCTGAGTGAGCACTCTATCTAAATATTTACATACTCACCGCGCTGCTGGCCGCCGACACCGCGCACCACGCGCTCGCTGAGTGAGCACTCTATCTAAATATTTACATACTCACCGCGCTGCTGGCCGCCGACACCGCGCACCACGCGCTCGCTGAGTGAGCACTCTATCTAAATATTTACATACTCACCGCGCTGCTGGCCGCCGACACCGCGCACCACGCGCTCGCTGAGTGAGCACTCTATCTAAATATTTACATACTCACTTTTGCCTGCGGCTTCGCTCGCATTAATTTATCCCCTTAGGGGTGGAATTTATCAAAATCCTTTCTTACGGGATGCTCACGTCATAGTAGCGTATGCGTAGTAGTTTATGCGTGTGAAGTCTCAGCCCGATCGGTTTGAAATTGACAAAGTTTCATACGAACTTTCATCCCCTATTAAAATAGGGGATGAAAGTTCATCCCCTTTGATTTTACCCCCAAAGGGATAAATCCCTTTGGGGGTAGAATTAATCAAAATCTTTTCTTAGCGGACGCCTACGTCATAATGTCTACCTGCATGCCAAATTTCAACCCGATCCGTCCAGTGGTTGTGCGTTGATAGATCACTATGTCAGTCACTTTTGCGTACAGACAGTTCAGTGGGCTAACGGCTTCGGATGGTGACGGATTCAGTTCTTCGCACTATACGAAATTTGTATACAAAAGTATATTATAATTTTTTTATTTATTTATTTTTTATTTATTTTCGGAAAACCAAGGCTATTTACAAACATAGTTATTTATGCAATTTATGTATATTATTTACATAATTAACCGGGTCTTAACACAAATAATTTTATGGCTAATAAGGTATTTGCCACAACTAAGTTACACTAGTCGTAGTCACGAGTCAAAACGTCAAAGAGGTAAAAACTTCATTTGCATTAAAATTATTCGTTTATAAGAATATATATTATATAACACAAAAGTTTTTAATATATATTAAAAACTTCGTAGGTATCTCAGTTGTACCTACTTCAGCCACCAAACAGCTTGCTTTGTAAGCTGTATTCGCTTGTAGGGTGCAGTGATCAGTGAAATTACAAAATAGAGGCATGATATCTTACTTTTCTGGATTTTCCACGGATGTTACATGTCCCCCTCCCTGCAGGTACTGCCGTCAGCAGGGTGACGCGGCGACGGACCAGCACGAGCGCTACACGTGGTTCTTCCTGCGCGCCAACTTCCTTCCCACCTTCCGCACTGAAGCACTCAATTTGTTAGGTAAGTATTGCAACGCTTATAAAATCACAACTAATTTAACTAACTATAAACCAAAATTACACTCGTGTATTTTAGGTTTACTGATCGGTTTCAATTTTAGGTACAAAAAAATAAAGTGATAAAATATATATGAAGTTTCAAAAACGAAACATAAAAACTATATATATATATGGTGCACCCGCCTGCGCTAACGGTTTCTAGAATAAGATGAGCGAGAACATCGTGACAAATTCACCAGGAATTTATCACGATGGTTTCGCGTTACAGGGGTTATCCCACATTACTAACAATCCCCTATTTGATGTTGTACGCAAATAATAATATAGATAACTATCTACTGAAACTCTAACAACCCCCCTCCGATCGATCCCCCGTCCAATTCAAACGGGGATCGAAATTACGACGGCCTGAGCCGAGGTTCGAACCCCTAGCGGTGCCCTCAGGCTAAAGTCGTATCCGTCAGGCGGGAGTTGGCCTTCAGCCGCTCCATAAGTCCTTCCTTGGTTTGGAGTGCCATCTGCACTCGCCCCCTATCGTCCGGTGAAGCTGTAAAGTCCAGCTGCGGCCAACAGCATTAGAGTAGTCCGAAAAGAAAAGTTCATCGAATCAATTGTTCAACTCCATCCATAATATTGAATATGAAGTAGGAATAATCCAATTTAAATTGGTATAACACCCACACTCGCTAGGCTCCAGTTGCACCGACGGACAAACTGCTATTAAAGGTTTAATTGAAGTCGCATTACAGTAATGTAGATTATAGATAAGGATGCCACATTGGCTATAATATTCGTCCAGGTAAAACCGTCGGTGTAGCTAGTGAATAATAAATAAATATTTCGTTTTTACCATACAGGTTACAGACAAGATGAGATACCTTCAAAGTTCAAGAGCGCAGAGCCTGACTCCACGCAGGACCTCGACTCCAGTCAGGTGGGTGGTGATCAAATCTATACATATAAATAAAATTGGAGTGTCTGTTTGTAATATTGAAATAAAATTTTTTACTACATGCATATGAACATAATTACGATACATACACCAAAATAACATTTTTTTCAATTTTTGTCTGTCTGTCTGTTTGTTCCGGCTAATCTCTGAAATGGCTGGACCAATTTTGACGGGACTTTTTTTTGGCAGGTATCTGATATAGTAAGGAGTAACTTAGGCTACTTCTATTTTAGAAAAATAAAGTTAAATTTCACTCGGACGAAGTCGCGGGAAGGGCTAGTAGTAAATATAAACCTATCGACTTGTAAAGAAGACGTAGAAACATATTGAATTGTATTACACAAGGTGAATAAAAGGCATTGAATACAAAAGGCAGATAGGACACTTGATACGTCACGAAATTAATTTATGAAAGTATTATTGAGGAAAAAATAGAAGGAAAGAGAGGGAGGGGCAAACCAAGGTATACATCAAGCAAATGAAAGACAAAATTGTATTCGTGTCGTGTCGACATTTAAAGAGCATGATGGAAGATGGTGGAAAGTGGCAAGAGCTCCACCGACAAGAGCGTGGCTCTTAAATTATGAATGAATATGGAGTATGGATGGATGGATGGATGTTGCTCTTTCATGCAAAAACTACTGTATGGATCAGAATAACATATAGACCAGTGATTCCCAAAGTGGTCTATATCGACCCCCAGGGTCTATGACAAACTGCAAGTGGTCTAGACAGTGGTCACTTTGTTGCTTTTACTTTATGTTTTTAACACTAAACTTTACTACAGGTAGAAATTTATAAAAAATCAATACTAGGTAAGAATGGGGGATCTACCCAAAACCGAAAAATATGGCAAGGGGTCTACGACACAAAAAAGTTTGGGAACCGCTGATATAGTCTATAAATTGAAAGTGGGTGAAAGCGCAGGCACACTCATGTATGAATAATAATAATAATAACAATCTCAGGACAATTCACACAGCGCCATCTAGACCCAAGTTAAGCTAGCTAAAGCTTGTGTTATGGGTACTAGATAACTGATACAAATACATAGCATTTTTTTTTCTTAAATACATACATATCATACATATAAAACACCCAGACCGACACAAACAATCATACTCATAAATACAAATGTTTGTGCCGTGCAAGGAATCGAACCCGCGACCATCGGACGTAAAGCGGTGTGCTAGACCGCTAGACCACCGAGGTCGTCGAATAAATTATTTGAATTTATTTTTTGACAATATACGATACGTTAAATGAATTCTCTTATATTAAAATATATGTACTATGAAGTATGTACATATGTAGTGAATATATGTACTACAAAATATATTTGCAGGATAATGAGACACTTCTGGAGAGGAAACTTTCGAACGTGGATCTGGATGACGAACCCACTGTTGAGAATGTTGTTATACCAAATGGTGAAGGTATGTTATCTCAATTTGTAGAATTAATAAACTGTGCTAGAACTACTCTATATAAGATGAATAGAATAACATTTATTATATCTATGGAATAGGCCGATTCAATGCAGGATATCTCATTGCCAAAGTACCATGGTAGGTTGACCTTCACACGGTTTCTCCTGGAGACCATCGTGATAAATTCCTAGTGAATTTGTCACGATGGGGATGGGATGGACTTAACCTCATGCTTATTTTATCATCCTTCACTGGTGCCCCCTACCAGCGTAAACCGTTAGCGCAGGCGTTCTATTATCATAAAAACATAAAAAAATACAGGGTATACCACACTTCCACAGAATACCTACGCTAAGTGATAGCACTTTAAGTGTACCGTAGAAGGAAAAATAGGGTCTTAATCTTTGTTATCCTCCTCTACCTACCTTTCTTCGTAGAAGGCCAGTAAACCTGTAGTTCTCTTAGGCTCATAAGTAGCAACAATCACTTACCATTAGATTAAGCACAATATATTATAGTTAGATTCAAAAACATAAGAAGTGTTAATAATTTTTTGTTAATAATTTGAAGTTTTTTCTTTTGTAGTAAAATGCTTTAGACATGAAATGATACGACACATATGACCTATATCTTTGTAATGACGAAAACGTCGATCTAAGACGCAAGTTAAATTGTATTGTATTGCGTTTGGACGACAGTAGCTTTTTATTTGAATTATCCAATTGAGAATATTTCTACTTCGTTTCGTACTTACAAAACTACTTCGTAGGCACGTACATATGATCGCAATGAGACGCAAAATTTAAACGTGCGAGGTTTCATTAGACACTTTCGTATTTATTATTTCTCTCTCTATCTTATCTAAATATTCTTTAAAAAAGAGAGTTTTTCGATGTCTCTTTCGCATACGTAATCTCTATTTATTATACCCGTTGTTACAGATTCTACTAGTTTAATTTGTCGTGCTCTCATCTGCGGTAATTTGGAGGAAGCAGCGGAATTGTGTCTGGAAGCTGACAGAATGGCCGATGCTCTCATAATCGCTTCTTTGGGTAAGCTGTATTACAATTATGTGTTTACAATTGATTTACAGACTTGTACGTTTAAAAATACAAGTTTCTACATTCTTATTTAAACAGTCTTATATATCTTAATCTTTTTATATATAAAATTCTCGTGTCACAGTTTTCGTTCCCATACTCCTCCGAAACGGCTTGACCGATTTTCATGAAATTTTGTGAGCGTATTGAGTAGGTCTGAGAATCGGCCAACATCTGTCGGCAAGCGGGTACTGTGAGTCTCCTACTCACTAAAAACTCCAAGATGTTCCTCATTCGACGTCATATGCCGGAGTCGCGGGATCGAATTTAGTCCACCGCGACTCCGACAGCGGTGGCCCACTGTATAGCGGGCCCCATCTCTGCGGGTTCCCTATGGAACCCACCACTTATCCCGTCTTCCCTGGGGAGGGCGCGCGGGGACATGCGCGCGACTTCGGGCCTAGTGCGGTGGGGTGGGACCTCCCCCGCGGGGGTCACCCGGCCCGGTAGCGAGCTGCCTCCTTGCTCGCTAGGAGGGAAACCTCCTCTGCGCCACTCCTACGGCCTGGAGCCTGTGAGGCGGGCCGTTTCCCTCCCTTCCCTTGTGTCGGGGTGCAGTTGTTGCTCGCGCCCAGTGCTCGGCCGGGCGGGCCTGCGACGCGCAAATAGCGCATTTTGGGGCTGCGGCGCACACCGCGACTTTATGGCCCATTTCGCCGCATCGGTAGCAAAGATCGCTTCGGTCCTCCACCTGCGTGCACTGGCTCCTAGGGTGCCCACTCTGCAGGCACCGGAAACACCGCAGCGGTCTTTGCCGCTCCGTGGTCACCTTAATGACCGCCACTGGGCCGCGGATCCAACAAGACCCCAGGGCTTGAGGACTGCTCTTTATCAATTCGCCGACCCTTATATCCTCGGCCCCGTCACCGTCACGCGCAATGGCGGCGGCGACGTCCCCCGGCATCACTGAGTCATTCAGGCTCATGAGCCGCATTTCTGCGGTCTTTGAGGGCCTTGAGACCTTGGCCACATCCTCCGGGATTAGAGCCCGGAGTTTAGACGCCAGAGCGTCAGCCTTCTCAGCGTTGGCGGTGCCGGAAACTTCCAGTATCCGCCCCCCAGTTATCGCAGGTCGAATCCGCAAGCCGTCTATTCCGAGGGGGCGGAGATCAATTTTGTCTTTGGCATCTCGAAGGATGTTGGCGTAAGTGACGCCTTCTTTTTCAGCCGCTTCCCCGATGGTTATGACTACCGCCGCAGAGCGGGGTAGCCGTAACTTTGCAGGGAGCGGCGGACTTACCTTCTTCCTGAGCGTCTCCTTAGCCTTCTTTGCCGCCTGAGTGGCGGTGGCCGTCTCCTGATTTTGGGGGACCGTGATTATCTTCCCCCTATTTCCCCTCACCACCTTAGCCCATGATAAGCTCCCGGCTGCGGGTTATGTGGCTGGAATAGCCGGGGAATCCACCGCGAGGGATTGTCCCTGGGGCACAGTTTTGCGCACCCTCTTGGTCTGGGCCTTGGGTCCGCTTTTTTGGTCTTGGGGGTCAGAATCACGGCCTCCTACTTCTGGAGCGGGCTGAGAGGCCACTGCGTCTTGGGACTGTGCCAAGATTGGTGCCGCTGGTGCGGTTTGGACTACGCTAGGAAGGGGGGATCTGTCTATCATTTTCCTCACCTCTTCCATAAATCGGGTCATCATATTCCCAATCATTGTGCGGACAGTGCCGCCGACGTCCCTCATAATTTGGGCTCTAAAAGTGCCCACCTCCTCGGTCTGGGGTGCATCCGCCATTTTCGCCGGCCCGGCCGCTTTTGCGGTGCGAAGCTTGCGAAGCCACCTCTTGCTGTTAGTCCCTCCTTCATGGACTTTAAAGGACTTTCAAGTTTCCGGAGCTCCGGATTACATCTTCAATGTCCGCCGTATGGTCGAGAACCGCAAGCCGATTACCTTATCAGCCTCCTCCTTCCGCGCATCTTTTCCGCCGTCGAAGAACTCGTGGCGGAAGGCTTCGAGTTCCTTTCTTTTCTGCTCCGACATCCACGACTTGGGACCGGCTGCCTTCTTTCTCTCTTCCTTCAGTGGGCGATTTTCCGACGCCGATGTCTCATCCGAGTTGGCCTCCGAGAGGCACCTTTTGCGCCTCGGTGGCAATGTCTCGTCTAGATCCATATCTGACAGGCCTGTGCACGAGCTCGCCCGCGAAGAACCGCAGTCGATCCCACGAAGAGCCTTAGATCTTGCCCTACGGCCAAGTTGGTCTGCCGCTAAGTCCGTTCTGGCCCATAGTTCCAAATCCGAGATTTCTTCCCGGCTGGGGCCTGCCTCCCCTAATTCATTCCGTTCGTCCGTGTCAACACGACCGCGCACTCCTTCATAGTAACACCGTCCTTCTCGGACACTCTGAATGACGTCCTTCTCGGAAACTCTGAACGCCGTCCTTCTAGGACACCATCTTCGCTACGTCCTTTTCGGACACCTCATCATAAGTTTTTGTTTTTTCACATTCCATTCTTGATGCCACGACTTGTGGAGAAAGTTGCACAGTAGGCAGAGCTTCTATACCTAACTGCGGCCTCATACGACTGAGTGCGGCTAGTTCTCAGAAAGTGGTGCCCTCGCAGCCGAAGTTACTCCTCCGACCCAAACGCCCTGGGGAATACGCTAGCCGAAATGAATTCCAGCAGCGTGCTTTACAGGACGACCTGTCCCTCGCCGGGCACCGAGCTTAAACAAGAGGTTTTTTATAGAGGTTAGCTCCTCGCACCCCCGGGCGATTAAGCCAAGCCCCCGCTCCTACATCGGGTCGATAGACGTGATCACCGACACCCAGTGCAGGTTTATGGTTTGAAGCCAGTTGCACCGAAGTGCGGTCCGGCTGCGCAGTTAAGCACCCACCGGACTTGGCTTCCAGTAGGCAAAGAAGAGAAAGGAAACAAAACAGAAAGACAGTGAAGAAGAAGACAAAGAAAAGAAAAGACGAAGACAGACAAAGTCGAAGAGAAAGATTTGCCTACTCCTACTAGCCGGACTATCGGCCGACGTAGTAGTCACAATTCCCTGACTACTGCAAACTCTACATTTCGCTCCAACTCCGGCTCTAGTAGCACGGATAACTTTTGAGTCCATATCAATTCCCCCCTAATATCGGGAGCGCCGTCGTGGTCACGCCCGTGTACACTGTGGTGCGCAGGCAGCCCGCGGCTGGTGGCGGCGGTGCAGGCGGCGTACGTGCGGCGCGGCGCGCGGTGCGCGGTGTCGGCGGTGGCGGGCGGCGTGCTGCGCGGGCGCTGGGCGCGGCTGGTGCGCGGCGCCGCGCCCGCCTGCTGGCGCGCCACCCTCGCCGCGCTGCTCACGCACTGCGACCCAGACGACCTCGCTACTTACGCAGGTATCCTTTTCTTTACTTAGCGATAGCGGATACTGTGAGACTCCTACTCACATAAAATCCAAAATGTCCCTCGTCGAACGCCATGACCCGGAGTCACGCGATCGATGTTGGTCCACCGCTACTCCGACTACTGGACCCCATCTCTGCAGGTTCCCTACATACGCAGATGTCTAAATTACCTTAATAATATATGCCACTATTGCTATTTCATCATCACCTGCTCCTATCTTATCGCATTCTTTTGAGTTTGAATGTTTAACTTTTTCTTTAATAAGTGTTCGCATTCATCTCATATTTATTCCCTCTTTTTTGTGATATTTTCTTTAACACAGTCCATTCAATTCTTTTTCGGTGCTCTAACCATCCACATTCATATGTAATACACTATTTAAATTAAACCCTTTAAATTATCATTACCATTCTGTAGTATAAAAATGAATTTGGTGGAATAAGGGAACTAAATGTTTGAATGTGTACACAGAAATGTTAGGTGACAAGTTGTCGGCGGAGCAGGACCCGGCGCTGGCGGAGGCTGCGACGGTGTGCTACCTGTGCGGAATGAGTGCGGACGCGCTAGCTGCTCGCTGGGCGCGAGCTGGCGCTGCCGGTGCGGACAATCTGCCGGAGTTGGCGCGGCTCGTGCAGCGGGCCGCCGCCGTCAGGGGCCGCCCCGTGCAGGTCATTATTTATTCTCTTTATTATTCATTATTCGTGTCAAACATAATTTGATTTGTGTATATAACAGATATTTTGTGCCAGTCCCTAAGTCCTATAATAGATGATTATCTTATTTTCAATACATACAATACATACAATTGTAATTGTCGATTGAAGCATTTATCTGTCAATATCACATAACTCGCGTATGTTGCTAAATAGTGATCTAAATGAGTTTTTAATTACAAAAGTACATCCGAGATATGAACGTGATACCGTGCAGGAGGGCGGCAAGCTGGAGTCGGTGCTGAACGAGTACGCGCTGCGGCTCGCCAGCCAGGGGCAGCTGGAGGCCGCGCTGCGGGCGCTGGCCGGCGCGCGCGCGGCGCCGCTGCGGGGGCGCCTGCGGACCGCGCTCGGGCTCGCGCAGGTACTGCCCACAGATACCAGATACCAGATACCAGATACCAGATACCAGATACCAGGGGCAGCTGGCCGCTGCGGGGGCGCCTGCGGACCGCGCTCGGGCTCGCGCAGGTACTGCCCACAGATACCAGATACCAGATACCAGATACCAGATACCAGATACCAGGGGCAGCTGGAGGCCGCGCTGCGGGCGCTGGCCGGCGCGCGCGCGGCGCCGCTGCGGGGGCGCCTGCGGACCGCGCTCGGGCTCGCGCAGGTACTGCCCACAGATACCAGATACCAGATACCAGATACCAGATACCAGGGGCGGATTTAAAAACAGTTTTAAAAACTTTACTGGTAGATGCTTACCAGTAGTCTACCAGCAGTATAGTATATGAACGAAGTAATGGTAGATTTAACATATCATAAGAGTCTGTAATAGACCTACATGAATAAAGATATCATGAATTTGAAAAACTCATAGTGTACATTCGTCCCCCGCAGCAACATGAGGAATATTCAAAAAAACTGGAGTATAGGGCGGGATGCGGGTAAATATCGCGCGCGCGGCGAAAGAAAAATGCGGGGGCCCTCGGTTAACTTACCACAGATACATAATAGTTGGGGGTGGGGGCGGGTGCGGGGGCGCGGGGGCTGCACAAGCGCGGCTCGCTGCCGCACCGTGACGTCACGCACGCGTACTCGCACGCACAAGGTCAGTATCGCGCACCCATTACGTACGTACTAATGTTCATATCCGGAAGCCAGCCCTCATTTCAAAGTTTAATATAAAGAGATTTTGCTTTCTAAATAATCGATACATACATAAAATTGGAGTGTCTGTTTGTAATATTGAAATAATGATAATTTGAAAAACGTATATACATATATTTATATAATAACATTTTTACATTTTTTTAACGTCAATTTGTTTGTCTGTCTGTTTAAACAAGTCTGTTATGTCAGTTTGTTCCAGCTAATCTATAAAATGGTTGGACCGATTTTGATAGGATTTTTATTGGCAGGTTAGAAAAACATGATGTAATTAACTTAGGCTATTTTAGTTAAATTCTCTATTCTCTAATTTATTTGTTAACTTAAAGACGAAGTCGCTGGTACAGCTAGTAATTACATAAAACATGTGCCTCAGTTGAGATATTAGTAGAAAAAAACTTAAAATTTCGCTGATTATCTGATTGCACAAAGATTGAGTGCGTAACGGTTTCTATGGTGATCGTTGCTTGCCTAATCCTTGTTAATTTAATGGTTGGATTATGATTATGGAATGGATATATATAATTCGATAGTTGAGTATTAAATATTTTGCCTCTTATGAATTAGCATTAGTTAGAGATCATTTCCTTTTTTTTACTTATACAAAATCTAGAAGTCTCTTGGCTTAAAGCCAAAGCTGAGCTATGGCAGTAAATTTACAAATAATAATAATAAAGTAACGACAGACTTGGCATGTCCCGTCCTCGGTACTAAACACCAGTTTAAGCTGTGAATAAAAGAAACAGATAATTACAAAAAAAGAAAAAAGAAAAATGTGCAAACAAAAGTCGGCCTAATCGCTCAAAGCAATCTCTTACAGACAACCAGGGAGATAGAAATATTGGTTAAGAGAAAGGTAGGTGGCGCACTATAAAAAGCGAATTAGATGTTATATGAATACTAAATACATATACATACAAATAGCGTATATATATGCACGGCTAGTATGTAGGCAGGGTAATTGATGGAGAGTTGGATCTCAGGGTACGAGCCGCAGCCGTGGCAGCAGGCGTCCGTGGCCGCCTACTCTCCACACAGCGCGCCGCCGCCGCAGCCGCAGCCGCTACACTCGCAGTACCAACCGACTCAGCCGCCGCGTCCGGGCAGCGTGGGCCCGCAGTCCGGTTCGATTCTATTTTAATTACATTACTATCAATTCTTTTTAAATTTGCAGTTTTAATGTGCAGAGTGGGATCGTTGCGTAGACTGAATAAGACAGGTATATTGTCTTTATGCACAAGTTTACAATAGGATATTAACAATTTATAAAATGGTTTTAATCTTAACGTTTTATTTTCTTTTGTTATTTTTACGTTCTCTGTGTGTGGTGGCCCCACTGAAAATCAGCGCTGTGATATTTATACTACAGTATAAATGCTGAGTGGGAGTCACATTCAGCGTTACTAGTATGTTTTAACTTTTAAGTTGTATATTAAATAAGAATACTGTAATGCTGAATTATTATTATTCATTTTTTTTTTCCCAAAAATTCTCATCTCCCCTCTTAAGGAGAGGAGATGGCAACATACCCCCGGCAGAAGCACAGTCGGCCGGGATTCAGGGCCCCGGGGAGAGAAACCGGCGTACAATGCGGGCAGAATCTAACAGCACCGCTTTCTGCATCTTTCCCGGGAGTGAACCGCCCCGGAATCCCAACCGTCTGAGATGTTGTTCCAGACTGGTTGGGATAAGACCGTTCACCGACATAACGATTGGAATGATTTCGGTGGACATCACCCCCCACATTTCGGTCACCTCGTGAGCCAGGTCGAGATACTTTCTCTTTTTCTCAGTTTCGGCTTTCATGAGGTTCCCGTCATGCGGTATGGTGATGTCCACCAAAAACACCCTCGTAAGTGCCCGATCCATCACCACGATATCAGGTTTGTTCGCAAGAACGGTCCTGTCCGTGATGATGGATCGGCCCAGTAGAGCTTGACGCTGTCGCTTTCGAGGACCGGATGGGGCTCGTATTTATAGTACGGCAACCTCTCATTCGCTTTATTATTATTATTACTTTATATGGCAGTACAAATTTAAATTACAAAAAAATAATGCGCGTACAGCGGGATGATGCAATATCTCTCTCACGGATTGCATATGCGCACCAGTATTGCCAACCTTAACCAGTGGTAAAAGGCTGTCGCCACGCCACTGGTATTGCCAATCTTAACAGATTGCGAAATGGTTGACAAGTGTATTAGGTCAGAGGTTGTATACCGGGTCCATCGTTTAGCAGAGAGGGAAACTCCGACTAGTTACCGGGTTTTGTATTTAGGATTCTAAATCTACCAAGCATATTCCAATTCACTTGTAACCCACCTGCAGTATCGTATAGTATTTGTAAATACACACATATGTATATTAATACATAATAAACTCCCAGATTGATACAAATAATATATAATATATTTTACAGGTGGCATAACATCTCGGTCGAAATACAAAGTGGACCCATCGGTACAGTCGGCGCCGCTGTACAACCAGTACAGCTTCAACAACCCCGCGCAGTCCTCGTTCGGCAACTACAACACTCCCCTGCCCGACCAGTACAGCTCCGCTAGCGTGCCATCCAGTTTTGCACCTGTAAATCCTGCCAACTCCATAAATCCACCCAATATTACAAACCCCTCAAACCCGATGACTCCATTAAACCCGGTTAACCCATTAAACCCGGTTAACCCATTAAACCCGGTTAACCCATTAAACCCGGTTAACTCATTAAACCCGGTTAACCCATTGAACCCGGTTAACCCATTAAACCCGGTTAACCCATATAATCAGGTTAACCAATTAAATCCAGCGAATCCAATTAACCAGGTTAATCCAGCTATAAACGGCGGGTATTACAACAACCAGGAACAAGCAGTGCAAAAACCCGTAGCGCCTGGATGGAACGACCCACCGATGTTGTCGGCTAAACCTAAGGTCAGTTAATTTAATTAATCCGTATTACCAACTTAATGAATTTATATTATTTTGTTTAATTTCGCTACCATTAGCATGGACGACCAAACAGACCGCCGAACAGTCAACACTAGGCTTTCAAGTTATATCGGAAGTCTATTCAATAACTGATGATGCCTATTCAGAGGCGAAGCACGTTTTGCTATATGGAAGTAGAATAGAATAGAATACAAAATCATTTATTCAAATAAACATAATTTAAACATTTTTGAATAGTCATAGTTATAATTTTTTTAATCTACCGCTCATTCGGAAAGCTGTCTCATCACAAGAAGAACGAGCAAAAAACTTGCATGTTGCTCTTTTAAATAATCATTGTAATTTTGCATTTTCAATTCGAAACGAGTGAATATAAATCACCAACTAGCACCAATTTATTAGCTTCAGATATTAAATACACAATAGGATTAAAACAGTCGTAGTGATTAGAGCAGATCAGTCCTTACAAGCAGCACTCGTTCACGAGTATGACGTATGAGCCAGCCATCACTGCGCTCGACCATATATTAGGGAGCCCAATGACCCGGCCCATAACGCCGCCACATGTCTGGACATTGTAGTGAGCATGACTACTCAATCCACTCGACACGTCATAACTACTAATAATTACCATATGGTAGTTGTATAGTAAGAAGAGAGAGGTGAAACACGTCTTGCTATAAAAGTAGATTTAATAACGGTCACAATTTGATTGAGAAGGTTGTATCGCTTCGTAGCGGTGGTCAGACATCCGCACTGAAATTATTTGTGATCCCACACATGCTAATGATAGCGGAATTAAACAAAATAATATTAATGCATGTCATACAAATATACATAATTCCTCAATATCAATTTTCTATATAAACAATTACAAAAAACAATCATTGTAATCCAACGCGGCACATCGAGGCAGCGTACCCAAGATACTGGCAGCGTTGCCTCTTTGAATGGCCATACTTAGCCTTTGGGCAAAATAGCTACCAGCTCTCGGGTCACAAGTAACCTCAAGGAGCCGCGCTGAAATATATGTCAAAAACAATTTGGCTTCCGGGCTCCATGGGCCCAACGTCTCCACGGCAAATGGTAAAAACCAATACGACCCCTCCAGATTCGTATATTTTCGTCTTTTAAAATTGCCGCCTGTGTTGCTGCCGTGCCAGGACGAGAGGACGATCCAGACACATGACTTGGTGCCAATGTATCCACACACGTGGCATCCCATACTAAACATTTTCCGAGTTTCCACGGGACCAGGGTCATACCATCAGGCCGTTTCCCGTCTTCGCAGACAATGCCACTAGGCTCTAGTACTGCCTGTATTTGTGCCGTCGCCAATGCTCTATGTATAATAGTGTTGATCATGGCATGACGAGGTATTCGACCAGCACTTCTCATACAAGAGAGACCATGGTGTCCTAATTCATCAACTAGGAAAATTGATATTGAGGAATTATGTATATTTGTATGACATTTATAATAAAAACTATAATAAATATTTTTATATTAATGCATTAAGTAACGAAATGAACTTCCGCATAATATCAACTAATTCGATAAAAAAATATAACTCAACCGAAGGTTGTACTACGTTTTTGTTGTAGTAAAAATCAAGTTTTTTTAGGAATGTTTCTTCTATATGCCTAAAGAAGATATAATAAAGATGTTACATCAAATATGATTAGTCATTCAATACTGAACTCAAGCTATAATAGATTGAGTTCATTATTGAATGACGGCTAAATGATTCAACTGATTGCTTAAACTACTTAATGTATGTGGAGGTAAAATTTTGACAATTATTGGTAATAGTTATATTTTTTCTTTCGAGCTGTTCTAATGCTGTTGGCTGCAGCTGGCCTTTATAGCTAGAACAACAGGGGGCGAGTGCAGATATCACTACAAACCCGCGGAAGGACTTATGGAGCGGCTGAAAGCCAACTCCCGCCTGACGGTTACGACTTTAGTCTGAGGGCATCGCTAGGGTTCTGAACCAGGGATATCTAATATTCGCATCTGCATTCGCAAATGCGGAACTTCCGCATCAATTTAGACAACCGCAATAATCGATGCGGAATTGCATGCGGATGCGGATGTTGCACAAGTTGCTACAAGAAAGAAATTGCGTGGGGCCAATCAGCGCATGCTCATTGACCAATAGGAGCGAAGTTTCGACGCGTTTGTTATTGATGTTATTGATGTATCGTGTATGAAAAACCATTCTATTTTTACGTTACTTTATTTCTGCACCTGTATATTTTTTTGTAAACAAAATCTAAATCCGCACCCGCATCTGCAGATGTGAACGTAAAAAATCCGCATCCGCGGATGTAAATAAAATTCCATCCGCAACATCCCTGGTTCGAACCTCGGCTCAGGCCGTCGTAATTTCGATCCTCATTTGAATTGGGTGGGGGATCGATCGGAGGGTAGTTTATAAAAATGTTTGTGTGTATGTGTAGCACATAACGCAGTGCGAGATGTCGGCTTTACACGCGGGCACCCGACAATGGGGCGGTATCATTGACCATAGGCGGCACGTGGACGAGGTAGCATGCACGCATACTCTGTCAGAGCATTCATAAACAAATCTGTAACGTATGCATTATCTGTCAAGTTTTAAAAACAATCATGCATTCCAAACTATATTTCTTTTTTTTTGTGAGACAATTTTTTTTTAATAATGCTTTATTCATGACCATGGATACAAGTCCTTCAGTCGAATACATTTTTATAATGAATTGAATACATAACATAAAAATTAAAACATAAGGAATAAACTATTATATGAGCTTAGACAATACGATTTGTGGGGAGATATTCTAAACCAGTCCCCACTAGCAGCAACCGTTCACGAGTATGATGGTTGAGCGAGCCATCATTGCACTCAATCATATTAGATGGAGCACATTGTCCCGGCCCATCAATCCGTGCTTCTGCAAACGTCATTATAAATCATTCAATATTTTTAATAACTTGGCATTTAATACAAACGTTATGAGAACTCTATGTGAATGTTCTTAAACACATTTTAGCATGCTAAAGTTGGTCAAAACACTTAGTCTTATGTTCGTGTTACATAAAGACATACCTATTTTATATGCTTTCATTGAGTTTGGAATTTCGACCTTATGTTTTACAATGTGTGTGTTATATGGATTGATTCCTTATATTTGATATTCAGAATTCTATCCGTTATATCTAACCTTTGTTGAGTGTTTTTTTTTGTATTTGAACTAATTTTTGTAATGTTTGAGAAATGTTACAAATATTATATTTTCTCTTGTTTTATTATTCAAAATTAAGACAACCGTTTAAATACACAAACATAATCCACACACACATTACACTCGATAGACTACCGCAATTGGGACTATAAATATCCTTAATATAATTTTTGTGCGATAAACATACAACTATTTTTTATTTCTATACAATAATTCATTACATTACACGATCCAGAAATTTAAGTGAAATGTTAGGATTGCAAAATAATACTGTCTCGTATAGACGAAATATTCGTAACCCATTCATGCATAAACGAAATATTTCCTTAATTATCATGAGGAGATAACAAACCATCGCTCCTAGGCTCCTCCTAATATCCTTCAATTCTGGCGGGTCTATATAGCGAACTTTGAAATAGGGCGATCACAATTTATGTAGGTCGCAGTGCTACATGTCTTAGCACCTAAGAATAGTCTAAAATAGAATAGAATATAATTTATTAACTCATTTTATACAGTAACAACTTAAGAAATACAAGGAACACTTTACACTTTAACAGAGTCAATGTGGACCACAACTCAGCATAATGCTGGAAACATAGTTTCCAGGGCTGATTTTCAGTTGAACCCACAGTACGGTAAAATAGAGGGAAAGGGATTGTTAATAATATGGTCTGTTGATCTTATTGCTAGCAATATACCATGTTAGGTTGACCTCCACGCGGTTCCCCCTGGAAACCTTCGTGATAAATTCCTGGTGAAATTGCCACGATGGGCTAACTGACCTTACTTCATACTCATCTTAGCATCCTCCACTGGTGCCCCGCCAGCGTAAACTGGTAGCGCAGTCGGGTGCACCATTTCATTATCGTCCATAAAAAAGAATAGCCTAAACTAAAATACTCAATAAAATAATATTATCACGTATGGTAAATATCCCCAGCCAAAGCCAGAGGTATCAGCGCCCCAAGCGCCAATAACGCACCCGATATTCGGCGTGGAGCAGCCACAGCACGTGCCGCTGGCCGGGCCTGCTCAGTCGCAGCACCAGCACCAGCAGCATCAACAGTACGGACAGTACCCCGAGCAGCAGTACGCGCAGTATCCCGACCAGTACGCGCGCCAACCAGAACAATACGTGAATCCGCCGCCCGGGTTCTCTCAACCGGTTAGTTTAAAAACTTACTTATATTTCACTTGACATCTTATGGATCTTTCTTGGTTTATAATTAAGCCTTGGTTTTCCTTTAATAAATAAATAAAATAAAATAAAATAATCTACTCGGAAATCCATAATTTGAAGCCATAATGCGTAGAAGAGCTGCATCATTGAGCTCAAACAGCATCCTAAAAACTATTGCGAATATACCTGGTACGCTCCAGAGGCATTGCCTTGTGGACCCAGTGCTTCTAGACGTGGACACAGATATATGAATTAAATATATCTACGTATCTGTATATTATAAGTTACATTTTTTTACTAACACAATATGGATGAATCCGAATTAAAATTAAAATAAATAAATAAAATAATTTACCGACATTACGAGTGGAGATGTGAAGTTTTTTATATAACCTTTGTATATTTAAGTAATAGTATTATTGTTGGGAATAAATATATTTTTATATAATTATTTGTGGTAGATTTACTAGTGGGAAATTGTAATGAGTAGTCTTCGTGTATTTACGATTTACCATTCTCTTCCTCTATTTTGTTTTAGGCGACAAGTAGCTTGCTTTAAGTAAGCTCTATATCTGTTGTAGGATATAGTTAAGCAGTGATATTATTGGGTTAAGAAGCATGACATCTTCGTTAATGAATATAATAAATTCGTTAGTATGGCAACACATGCGTGGTATCCCGTAGTGACATATGATAATTAGGTCATTCTTACCCTTAGGTCGTTCAGACGAACGACCTAAGGGTACGAGCGGTTCTTTACTAGAGAAGAACTATTCTACTTACATGAAAAAAATACTTTGTGTACATACTAACAAAGCATGTTTTCTTTTAATACTACAATGGTGGCATACAATACGACGAGTAATTAGGGGGCGAGTGCAGATGGCACTTCAAACCCGCGGAGGGACTTATGGAGCGGCTGAAGGCCGACTCCCGCCTGACGGATACGACTTTAGTTTGAGGGCACCGCTAGGGGTTCGACCTCAGCTCGGGCCGTCGTAATGTCAATCCCCGCCAAATGTATGAGTAGTGATGACGTAGAGCACGGTGCGTGTGCGTGTGTGTGCAGGCGGAGCCCCCCGCGGCGGGCGTGAAGCCCCCGCTGTCGGGGTGGCAGGCGCGGCTGCAGGCCGGGCTCGACGCACTGCGGGCCGACTGCGCCGCCGCCGCGCCCACACCGGTAACTATACGCACTTATATTCATTACACACTCTATCTGTCTGTTGATAACATTTTTTGTCATTACGATGATACTATAGATATATATTTCAATTGATATAGATGGAGCCCTTTTGAGTAGTCACATATTTTTTTTATTCTACCACTCATTCGGAACGTAGACTCATCACAAGAAGAACGACCGACAAACTTGTGCGAGAAGAGATAATGAGAAGACGATCAGAATGCTATTTTTTTTTAATATATCCATAAAAAAAACATTACATAAATAAAAAATATTACACACACTATTTGACACACGCGAATATATACTCTCTTGTTTATTGGTCTTTGGTCAAATTTAGAATAAATTAATATTATTTGGCTATAGTCTTACTGAGTGTTAAATAAAAATCGTCAAATTTCGAACAGTGTACGACCACGTCTCAAGACGAAGGTTTACGACCAATGTGTGTTGCCAGTGATAACTTACGGAACAGAGACGTGGTCGCTAACTATGGGCCCCACAAGCATCAATGGAGAGGGCTATGCTCGGAGTTACACTGCGTGATCGAATCAGAAATGAGAAGATCCGCAGAAGAACCAGAGTGACAAACATAGCCCGAAGAATTGCGACTCTGAAGTGGCAATGGGCAGGGCACATAGCTCGTAGGACAGATGGACGTTAGGGCAGTAAAGTCCTCGAGTGGCGACCACGAACCGGAAGACGCAGCGTGGGAAGGCCTCCAGCAAGATGTACCGACGATCTGGTCAAAATCGCTGGAAGTCATTGGATGCGAGCAGCGCAGGACCGATCGTCGTGAAGATCTTTGGGGGAGGCCTATGTCCAGCAATGAACGTCCTCCGGGCTGCGATGATGATGATGATGATGATGTACGACCACGACTTCTAGTAATTTCTTAGAAACATAACAGTATTTCTCTATTTCTACGCAATATATGACACACACATATACACAAGTAATATAATGTAATATAGAAAAGTTAATTTGTTTGTTTGTTATTTCTTTGTAGCTTTCTCTTAGAGTCTTAATTTAATTTGATTTTTATTTTAAACTAGTATTTATCTCTGTGTACTATACTCTGTGATTTTTACTTTTTTTCGTTGTACCTAAAAGTAGCTTTTGGTGTATAACATTTTCAGTGTGTATGAGATCTTAAATATTATTTATTTGTTTGCAGCAAGTGAAGAGAAAGTTAGAAGATGTACAAAGGCGATTAGAAACCTTATACGACATGTTACGTGAAAATAGGGTGAGTTTTTATAGTTTAGTTTTCAAATATGTTATCTTAAAATAAATATAGATCCAATATGTATAAGAATTCGAGAAAAAAATAATGGAAATATAATCTTTTTCGGAATTAAACTGTTGAAGGTTTAGTTACACAATATGTAATTCTTTCATTAGGAGAAGTACGTACGGCATGACGATGTCAGAATGTTATTTCATAGTTTTTATTTAGAATAATACAATAAATCATTTATTCAAATAAACTTAATTTAAGCACTTTTGAATAGTCAACATTTTTTTTAAATCTACCGCTTATTCGGAAAGCTGTGTCATCACAAGAAGAATAAGCAAGAAACTTGTGTGTTGCTCTTTTAAACAATCCTTGTAAGTTCACATTTTACAAGTCGAAATGTGTGAATACAAACTACCAACCAGCACTAATTTATTTAGGCTCAAATATAAAAACACAATAAGATTAAATCAGTCGTAGTGATAAGAGCAGACCAGTCCCTACAAGCAGCACTCGTTCACGAGTATGACGGATGTGCCAGCCATCACTGCGCTCGACCATATTTTATGGAGCCCAATGACCCGGCCCACCACGCCGCCACATATCTGGACATTTTAGTGAGCATGACTACTCATTCCACTCGACCACGTCACAGCTACAAAAAGTACTATATGGTAGTTACAGTATTCGCACTTTACATGAGGATGCATGCGGCAATCAATACAAAAGCCACTACGCTATCATATATCAGAAAGCAGTATGAAAAATAAATTATAACGTTGTCCGCAAATAAACTTATACTTGCTATATATTGCTATCATCTATAAATTCATCTATCCTATAATAGGCTTTTTTACATAACATTTGTTTAATATAAAGTTTGAATTGCCTCTCTGTCAGATTTAGCGTAGATTCTGGCAGTTTATTATAGAATCTTACGCAATTACCATAAAATGAATTACTAACTTTGTGTAGACGGCATTTAGGTAAAATTAACTTATTTTTATTGCGTAGGTTTCTACTTGTACAGTCTTTAAATTTCTTGAAACTATCTAAGTTTTTCCATGTATACATAATATTTTCATAAATATACTGAGAGGCAACGGTGAGGATATTTGATTGTTTAAAGCATTGACTCTCTCTTTCGTAAAATAAATATAGTATTTACATCGGCAGCTTTACCCCACAGCAGTATGCCATATGACATAATGCTATGGAAATAACTAAAATATACAAGTTTTGCCGTCGCCACGTCTGTTAATTGCCTTATCCTTCTAATTGCATAAGCAGCAGAACTAAGTCTACTGGCTAATTTTGAAATATGGGGCCCTAATTGTAACTTCGAGTCCACTATTATTCCTAAAAAAACTGTATCATTAACAAAATTTACTATTTCATCATTAAGCAATAGCTGCGTATTTATCTGTCTTACATTAGGAAGCGTGAATTTAATACACTTAGTTTTGTTGGAGTTTAATAATACATTATTACATGTGAACCAATTTAATATAGCAGAGATAGCATAATTTACATCGTCTACATTGGTGACCTATTTTAAACACTAACGAAGTATCATCCACAAATAATACTATATCTGCAACTTTCTCTACCATGTAGTTAAGGTCATTTATATAAATTAAAATATATCCGAGAAATGGCCCTAAGATTTAACCTTGAGGAACGCCCATTTTTATATTAGTTCCTTAGACTTTACACCATCAATATCTACAGTTTGCACCACTATCCTCTAGATATATATTTTCATTAGACTTAGGTCATTATCTCTAATACCATAATGTTCGAGCTTATACAAATTTTTAAGTGTTTTATGATCTACGCAATCAAACGCCTTCGATAAGTCACAAAAAACGCCGAGAGCATCCTGTGAGTTTTCCCATGATTCGAATATATGTGAAAAAAGCGCTACACCTGCATCAGTAGTAGACGTGCCGGCAGCGAAACCATATTGCTGACTGTGAAGCAGTCCGTTATCCCTGAAGTATTTTAACATTTGGTTAAACATAATCTTATCAAATACTTTACTTAGAACTGGCAAAATAGAAATTGGTATATGGTATATGTGTAATAGCTCAAATCTATCTCCTGATTTAAACAGGGGAATTAATTTGCTAAATTTCATTAATTGAGGAAACACGCCATTATCAACACATTTATTGAAAATAGTAGCTAGATAAGGAGCAACAATATCTATGAATGAACTAACTACTTTAACTGTCCCAGAGATCTTCCGTATTTTTTAAATTTAACTGTTTGAATATTTTTATGACATGAAAAGGGCTGACATGTGAAAATATAAATGTTAAAGAGCAAGGGCTGACATTAGCCTCTAGTAATGTTTTTGCTCGAATTGGAGATGGGTCGAGAGACGATGTAATATCAATCGGAATATTAGCAAAAAAATCTTGGAAAATATGAACTATATCTTTTGTTGCTGATATTAACTTATTGTCATAATTATTGAGAATTGATTGCTGGCTTTTTCAGACCTTCCAGTTTCTTTGTTTATAATTCCCCAGATGGTCTTAATTTTGTCAGAAGACTGATTAATTTGTTTATTTATATAATTAGATTTAGCTGCAATACAAACTTGCTTGAAAATTTTTGAATAATTTCTCACATAAGTCGTAAATTTGTTATCAAATCTGTATTTTTTTTGATCATATAAATCAAATAAAATGTTTGTTATTTATGTTTAAATTAAATGAAAACACCATGAAATGTATATTTAAATTTATTTTATATTAATATATATCTCTACTGTCCAAGTGTATTGGCAAGATCCAACAAAGTCTCTTTTTACGTTTTTCTATGAACACTTTTCGAAAACCACATTGTGAACACCTTCCAGCAATGGTATTTTAACATACGCGATACGATGTTGAAACCTTCACGAAAATCGAGTTATTCCTTTTTAAAAGGCCGACGACGTACTTGCAATTCCCCTGGTGTTGCGGGTGCTCATGGGCGGCGGTAATCACTTACCATCAGGTGAGCCGCATGCTCGTTTGTCCCCTGTGTTATAAAAAAAAAACAAAATTTAACTGAAAGTCTCTTTTTTAGACTCCAGTTTATGTCTATGTCTAACACTAATTGAAAATCACGTGCGTGAACAACTATTGCCATGCACGTTTGTCAGTATGTTTAACATACGCAGCTTGCAAGTAGGTGAGACGCGTGACGATTATCGAGTACCGCTAATATTGGTCGTATGTGACGCGCAGCTGTCTGCGAGCGCGCTGGGCTCGCTGCAGCAGTGCGCGGAGGAGGCGGCCGCGCAGCAGTACGGCGCCGCGCTGCAGCAGGCCGCGGCGCTGGCCACCGGGCCCGACTTCGCGGCCGTGGCCTCGTTCCTGCCCGGGCTCAAGGCGCTGCTGCAGCTCGCCGCGCACCGCCACGCCCGCGCCCCGCCCAGCTGAGTGCGCCCCGCGCCCCGCGCCCCGCGCCCCGCGCCCCGCGCTGCAGCAGGCCGCGGCGCTGGCCACCGGGCCCGACTTCGCGGCCGTGGCCTCGTTCCTGCCCGGGCTCAAGGCGCTGCTGCAGCTCGCCGCGCACCGCCACGCCCGCGCCCCGCCCAGCTGAGTGCGCCCCGCGCCCCGCGCCCCGCGCCCCGCGCCCCGCGCTGCAGCAGGCCGCGGCGCTGGCCACCGGGCCCGACTTCGCGGCCGTGGCCTCGTTCCTGCCCGGGCTCAAGGCGCTGCTGCAGCTCGCCGCGCACCGCCACGCCCGCGCCCCGCCCAGCTGAGTGCGCCCCGCGCCCCGCGCCCCGCGCCCCGCGCCCCGCGCCCCGCCTCTTACACCTCTACGTGGCCTGAACGCGCTTGTACCTACACGGGTGCATTGTAGTATGGGAGACATATGAGGTACTCTGCATTGTTGTTGGGAACTCCAATTTAAAAAAAAATACAGCTCGTGCACTCGTTGAAACTGTACTTTTCTATACATGAAACTCGGTTATTTTTGCAACAACCTAAACCAAATTCGACTTTCTGTCGAGATTAATCTAGCGAATAATATTATAGGAATCTGCAATTAACACATTAAACGCCATGTAGGTCACCGGTGACCTCGTATTGTCTAAATCTTTGCGCCGCGTAGGTCACCGTGACCTCACTGAGCGTGTTGGTGTTGAGCGCCGGCGCGTGATTTTTTCATAAATTTGTAACTAGAATAACCGGAGCGGGGCTCGACAACAATCTCTCTCGTGACCTCACAGCGCACGCGAATAGAAAATGTCATTTTTAAAATGGGGTTTTTCATTTACTCACTGAAACTGTAGCTTTCCATAAATGAAAGAAATAACTCAGTTGAGTAATTTTTTTTAGTTACATTACTAATGCAATAAATAATTCCATTTCATACTTACATTGCAATTAATAAAGAAATAATTTCGTATCATACTATTAGTTTAATTATATAAATTGTTTTATTTGCAAGTGTAAATTGTTATAAAAAAACATAAACAGCAATTGCCTCTGACTGTGTCATCTATGATTATAGTCGAAGTTATGTTTTTTTTAATCAATAAAATTTAATATAGATTTGTTTATTTTATTATTGTTTAACGTGTGAATTACTGTAATGAAATTATGTTGACTTAATATATTTAACACTGATTTGAGTATAATATTAATGAAAACAGTTTTTATGCTAATATTTAAAAATATGATAAAAAATTATATTAATCATTTGTCAATAGAGGCTTTACAAAATTGACATTTAGGAATTAAGTTTAGAAAATTAATATAATTATGACCCTATACAATTCACACAGCGCCATCTAGTCCCAAGCTAAGCAGAGCTTGTAATATGAGTACTAGACAACTGAAATACATGTTTTGTAAATACATAATATACTTAGAAAACACCCAGACCAATACATACAATTATTTTATATATTTATTTAATCAGTACTAAAATTATAAAAGCAACAACGCCTTTGCCTCTATTTTTTGTTAGCTATTTTATGGAATTATGCGTTATCTTGCGGAAGTTTATGTATGTATTTATATTATTTTGTTTAATTCCGCGGTGCTCAATCCATTAAATAATGATTTTTTATCTTTCCAACGACTAAACAACTGAACGGATCCTAACGTTTAACGTGAATATATATATTGTATTACTAGGACAGACGTAGGCTGTCTTCTATCTAAAAAGACAGACGAGTCGCGGCTAACAGCTAGTCCTATAAATGTTTGTACTATATATATACCTCTTAAATATATTCACGCCATTATAAATATCATAGGTCGTAAGTACATTAGTTTGTAATACAATGTAAACATTCTGATGACATAAGTACTTGTATAATATAATTTACTTGTATAACGTAAAAATACTTTAATTATACAAGTACCTACTAGTTTTTCATATCCATATCTTGCAATCGACTCACCAAACCTTTAGCAGATTTGTTGTAGTAATCTGTTGACGGGAGAACTGTACATCCAGTGAGGAAACTGTATTATTATATATAACTAGGTTTTTTCTCATTAGTGAACAAAATCTCACGTGTATGAGTCTGCTGTGACTCTGTGACCCACACAATCTGGATGTTATGCTGTAAAAAAGATAAGTTCTGGACTGCTTTCCAACTTTATTTATTGAGTACACGATGCGTGAGTGTGGACTGATGCTTGCTCGTGAGTATCTGGTGTACTTAAGGGGAAATGGTATGTGTGGACGTTGTATGGATGCGGAGCCATGTAAAATGCTGACGGCTGTACGTTGACCGACTTTTAAGCCTTGGGACCGTTCAAGTATTACATCAGCACTAAGGGGGGGCAGGGGGGTGAGGGAGTCTACATGATGATTACGTCATCGTAGTTATTTACTAGTTTACACGAATTGCAACCTTCACGTTATATTAGCTGAAAATACCAATACGTTAATTGTAATATGTTTACGTAAGCATTGGGGGAGGGGGTAAGAGCTTTGCTCACTTTTGCTGTTAAGGGGGTTGGGGGAGGGGGGGATAATTGTAATAAATCTGCTTACGTAATACTTGAACGGCCCCCTTGGGTAGTTCTTTGGCTCACGCAGTGCAGTTGCAAGGATATTTGCTCCTATACCATCTCTATATGCCCTTGTTCTGAGTGCATACTTGTATAATTAATGTATTTTTTTTTATTTTCTATAATGTGGCAAAGTACTAAGTTGGTAACATATCAGTACTTACCTACACGTATTTTGCCGCACAATGATGAAATAAAAATTGTTTTGAGTTTTAATTTAATTTAAATTTTTCTCAAGTTGAGTTTTTTTGCATGTATGCATTGTGCGGTATTATTTAATATATAAATTGTCATAAGTTATAACCCGTCAATTCCGGTCCACTCCTGGGAGACAGACGTACAGGGGCAGGGGGAGGGGGTTGCACAATGTTATCAGCTTATTTATCCTGCTTCTTTTTTTTTCATGAAAGAGCCATAAAAAAAGAAGGCTGGAATTGGTACTTCCATCTTTTGTATGCTTGCAGTATACGCTGGCACCACTGGAAGATGATAGGATCAGCAATCAGTTTGTACATTGTGATGAATTCATCAGGAATTACTGACGATGGTTTTAAAAGGTGATCGTGTGGAGGTCAGCTGATGTTATATACTGCTAGCAATCGGGGGAAAATTCATTCCTACTACATTATATATGCCCTACAAATACGATTTTGCTATATGTCAGGGTCCGCACATCCGTACTGAGTGACTTTTTTCGAACTATTCTCACTGTTGGCCGCAGCTGGACTTTATAGCTTCACTGAACGTTAGGCGACGAGTGCAGATGGCACTACAAACTCGCGGAAGGACTTATGGAGCGGCTGAAGGCCAACACCTGCCTGACGGATATGACTTTAGTCTGAGGTCTCAACTCAGGCCGTCGTAAGTTCGATTCCCGTTTGAATTGGACCGGGGATCGATCAGAGGTGGTTGAGTGATATGAATTGACGGGTCGGGTTCTTAGATAGAATGGAGTGCCTTCTTGTATTCGGCCGGGACAGTAAAACCGAATTGAAGTATGATTAAAACTCTGTATTTTAAATAGTTTATTTTCTAAATTGTCTGACTGCTATCAGGGGCCTGATTATGTAACGTTGTCTGTTGCCTGTTATAAATTTATAACAGAAATGATAGTTCTAATCATCTTTTTGATAGTCAACTCAAATGAATCAAGAATAAATATATTAAGTTTTATATTTACCAAATTAAATGGCATATACGACTCTAATAAGGGGCAATATTGATGCAGTTGTTAAGAGGAGGGTGGGGGAATGTTACTATGAGGAATTGGGCCTTTACGATCCTACGTATAATAATACAACAACACAAATGAACATATTTTACACATAGATACCTTCAAAGGAAGGAATTACAGGAAACGATCCCAAATATCATATTGTATCTATCACTTTTACATAATCATACCTCTGGTTATCTTATGATTTTTTTATTATTAAATTCCAAAGATGAGGTGGATAGGTACAGACAGATAACTCGATTGATATAAACATAGGATGCTGTATATTTTACTGTCGCAGTGAAGTAATCAGTACTATAAATAATATTTTAACATGTCTTGTAGTTTGATGTTCACTCGCTGAAATATACTATACATTAATATATTTTGAATTAATATGATAATGAACAATGTATTATAGAATAATATATTATGATTATTATGGAATAAATTTATAAAAACTTGTATTTTGGATTTTTATTTTATTACAAGATGTCACGGCAAATGTTGTTATGCTATGTAAAATAATAACGCTATAAAAAATAGGGGTTGGTGATGGAAGGGTGAAAATTTAGCGTTGTATGTATTTTTCAATCCTAAATAATAATACAATGAAAATAATATATTATGTCGAAAAAATAAAAAAATATATTTAGGGGTGGATATCACTTATTACTTAGGGGTATGAAAAATAAATAGCCGATTTTCAGACCTACTGAATATGTATATAAAATTTCATAAAAATCGATCAAGCAGCATCATAGGAGTATGGTAACTAACATTGTAACACGAGAATTTTATATATGACTAGCGGACCCGTCAAACGTTGTTTTGGCTTAAAATAAAAAATAAAAATTTAGGGGTGGACTACCCTTAACATTTAGGGGGATGAAAAATAGATGTTGGCCGATTCTCAGACCTACTCAATACGCTCACAAAATTTCATGAGAATCGGTCAAGCCGTTTCGGAGCAGTATGGGAACGAAAACTGTGACACGAGAATTTTATATAGGTATAAGATTATCAGTTACACTAGGTTACAGGAAGACTTATTTTACAGTCCTTTACCAATAACGACCTAAAGAAAACTGAAATGAACGACTAAAGAACAGATGTGCCTGAGGAAATTTTTTTCATCGATGACGACTTAACGCTGGCGGGGCACCAGCTAAGATGAACATAATCAGATGTGTGCTAGTCGGAACGATAGACAAAAATAGAAAAAAATGATTTTGGTGTATGTACTTTTTTTTTTTTATACATTGATGACAAGCATACGGAATGGTAAACGGCTACCGCTTGCGCTAAACACCAGGTTCACTTACGCTGGCGGGGCACCAGTGGATGGTAAGATGAACATGATCCAGTTAGCACATCGTGCTAGTCGGAACAATAAAACAGATAGACAAAAATAGTAAAAAATGTTATTTTGGTGTATGTACCGTATTTATATTCATATGTATGTAGTAAAAAACGGTTATTTCAATATTACAAACAGACACTTCAATTTTATTTATATGTACAGATTAGACGTAGTGATAATATGCTTAAGTTTCAGCAAAATTGAGCTTACGGACACCAAACAGGTTTATTTAAATTATCAATCAAAATTTGAAATTCAGATAAGTGATATCTTTAAATTAAAGTTTAATTCAAGTCGTAACAGCGCCCTCTGTATTTTGAACAATCATGAGATCTTATCATAATTTTTTTAATTAATATACCAATATTTTTGCAGTATCAACCGCTAAAATCAAGTGATTGTTCCCAATTTTTCCATATTGACCCAAAAAATTGTAAATACTTATATTTCTGACGTATACTTACAATATTTTCTATTTTATGTCATCATAAAACATTTATATTGTAAACAAGAATATGATACGTGATATTTTTCGTTCAATAGATTTTTATAGACAGTATATTAGGTCCGTTAAAAACTTAAAATTAATATAATACTTTTATATTATTTAGGTATGCCATAAAATAAAGAACAGTATTTACTGTATTACTACTACTACTATTAGAATCAACATGTTATTTATTTAACAAATCGATTAATAATATTTCATTACGTGTTGTTTTTTTTGTTTTAGGAAATGAAATAAAGATGGCAGTTTAAATGTTTAGAAATGTCAATGTTTTGTGTCCCTTCTGTCATTGTGACATTTTAATTTGATTTTCTGTCAGTCAATCAGTTTTCGTTTTTTTGTTCAAATTTCCAGCGGGTACTTTTGAGTTTGTGCATTTCTGTATTGGTCAGGTAGGTTATTGATTTCATTAATTATTATCCAGCTACAAAGCTATCCATCGTCTCACTTTTAATTAACTCAAACGCCGACAGAATTGTGCATTCTCCAATCAAGTCAATTCCTACCGGCGTATTGGAGAAAAATGAAAGACAAATTATTTAATACTTAATATTAATTCGTTTAGGACTGCAGATTGATTGTAAAATAAAAAGTACGTAAGTATTTAATTACGTTTTCCCCATTCCACATCTTATGTGTATGTCAGTTTGTATGTGGATTTATTAATGTGACAATTTTTTTTTATTGATTGACTAGCTACCAACCTCGGCTTCGCACGGTACATGTATTATACATATAAAACTTCCTCTTGAATCACTCTATCTATTAAGTTAACTGCTTCAAAATCCGTTGCGTAGTTATAAAGATTTAAACATAGAGACGGACAGACAGCGACAGCAACTTTGTTTTATACTATGTAATGATTACATCCATCTGCGCCAACTCTACGACACGGAATCTTATTAACTAGTAATAAGTTCTCTAGTCACCATTACCAATCTCGTCTTCCCCCCTCCAATGACCCTTGACCCTCGCATGACCCTTTTATAATTATGGCAGTATAATATTTTGTATATTTACAAGAACCTGTCCATACAAACAATGGCAACTGTGGTATGCTGACAAAATAACATGAGTGTTTGGAAATAGAAATAGAAATAATCTTTATTCAAATAAACTCATTACAAGCACTTTTGAATAGTCATATTTTGAAATTCATAACTACTATTAACCAATGCAGATTCATCACAAGAAGAATGAGCAAGAAACTTGTGTGTTGCTCTTTTTAATAGATGTTTTTTTTTGGACAAATATATATTCTATTTATTTATAATGCTTTAATGCACTAGCATTAAAAGCAGATATATTGAAAAATATAACAATAGATTTATATAAAACTAAGATAATATTTCTATTAAATAGGTTTTTTTTTAGTGAATGAACATGGAATGATGCTCCTCTCCCCTTGTCTTACGCTGGCGGGGCACCATTTAAGGCAGATATATGTAATTTTTTCATTATATTTAGAGAATGCTTGTCCAAACAAACTATGGAAAGCATACTAAACTTTAAGTAAACATGATTGTATTTATATAAAACTAATTATAATATTTCTGTGGTGAAATAGGTTGGTAACTCAAATGTATTTGTTTTTTATTATTATTTTCATTGTGTGGTGCCTCCTGGCACATGCATTTTTATGATTAAAGGGTCAACAACTATATAGAACTTAGTAATAATTGTGTTATCAATTTAAAGAATTTAGATTTTTTTAATTTGTATTCTTTTTAATTAGTTACAGATAGGCTAAGAGAACTCAATGTGGAGTTTGATGTATTGTAAATAAAAGTTAAGCTATAAATCCATGCTCAATGCAATATAAGTATAGTTGATCATCTAAAATAATTAAAATTGCTTTTAACATATTGTAAGTTTTTTTATTTTAACATATTAAACATTTTTCATCCTTGATGAGTAAAATTATTATAATAATTTTACATTATTTAATTTAATAATAACTATTTCGTCCCAATCTTAGATATATCTTTATCATACAATGAAATGTATGAAATACCTATATAATGTGCAGTATTATTGTATATTGTGATAGAAAATATTTTATTATAAATATTAATTTCTTTTCTAGAGAAATGAATATCATTGGAGATGAATTTTGAAACAGATGATCATAAAGTGACCATAAAACACAATGAATTTGACACACCTGACAAGCAGGAGTCTTTTGATTTACCATTATATATTGATCATAATAATAAACAAGGAAGTTTTGATGAAAATTCTATTAGTAAAGAACAGACAGTTTCGTTACATAAGAATTATATAGATTATAAAAGAGAAAGAAAAACCACAGACAAACAATTTAAGAAACAAGATATTGAACAGCAATCTGTAGACAGAGTTGGTGTGAAGAATGAGCATGTCAATATTTCCACAGATAAAACAAATATAACAAAAGAATCTATAAAGGAGGAAAATGATTCTTTTAAAAAGATATATGAGAATCATGAATGTAAGGAGGACTTGGTTGTAGGGCCCACAGACATACAAACAGACAGTGGAACCACTGAACACTTAGTACATAATAATACAAATGATTATAAAAAAGAGGAAACTGCAGGTGACTTGTTTATAGTGACATATGTCATTCTAACAAAATACTAATTTTATTTTGTAGAAATATATTATATGTATAGTATAGTACCAGAAATTTCATCATTATAAAAATAAAATAAATAAAAGCAGCCTAAAACTCCTTATAACATTAGCTATCTGCGAGTAAAAATCTCATCAATATTAGTCTAGCCGATTCAGAGATTAGCTAGAACAAACAGACAGACAGATTTATGTTTTTTTTTTATATTCCTTATATTATGTAACATTACTAAAAACCAATCAGGATGCAGGAATCGAACCCAGGGTCAAGTTAGGTAGGAGTTGGCCTTCAGCAGTTTCATTAGTTTTTCCGCAGGGTTCGAGTTCCCTTTGCACTCGACCCCATTACTAAACTCACAGCAATAAATACAAAAGTATGTATTGCAATATATAAAGTATGTATATGTTGACGACCTCGGTGGTCTAGCGGCCAAGCTCACCGTTTTACGACCGATGGTCGCGGGTTCGATTCCTCGCACGGCACAAACATTTGTATTCATGAGTATGATTGTTTGTATCGGTCTGGGTGTTTTCTATATATAATATGTATGTATTTACAAAAAAAAAATCTATGTATATGTATCAGTTATCTAGTACCCATAACACAAGCTCTAGCTAGCTTAACTTGGGTCTAGATGGCTCTGTGTGAATTGTCCTAAGATTATTATTATTATTATATTACTTTCAGATGCAGTTCACAAATGTACGCGCCAAATTAGAATAGTGATAACTGATAGAATACATATATGTGATGTATGCAAAGATGTATTTATGTCACTTGAGAAACTAGCGTCTCATATTATGACGGTACATACTAGCCGAAAACCACGTTCATATCATGTAAGTAAAAAAAAACGTGGAACAAATACACATCAGAAAGATGACGTGCATTTTGATAAGGGTAAAAGTTTATATATTTGTAATGTATGCAGAAGGTGTTACTCCACCCAAAGATGTTTGAATGTTCATAAAGTTATTCATACACATGAAAATATAAATAAGTGTGATGTATGTAAAAAATGTTTCAGTTCAATTTCGTATTTGAAATATCACATGCGTTTGCATACTGGTGAAAAGTTACACAGTTGTGACGTGTGTAAAAAATCTTTCCTTACACAGTCACATTTGAAAATTCACACGCAAATCCATTCTGGTACAAAGTCATACGAGTGTGATGTGTGCAATAAATGTTTTAGTGCAAAATCATTCTTAAATCAACACATCCGTAGTCATAGCGATGAGAAGCCATTTATTTGTGAAGTGTGTAAAAAATGTTTTAGCAAAAAAATATACTTGAAAAATCATATACACGTACACATGGAAAAAAAGCTGTATAGATGTCATTTGTGTAAAAAAAGATTCAGTAAGTATTCATATTTGAAAGGTCATATGCTTCTTCATGAAGCTAAAGATTTATATAAATGTGAAGTTTGCAATAAGTGTTATAGCTCAAGTGTATATTTGAAAACTCACATGCTCATTCATACCGGTGAAAAACCGTTTAGTTGTAAAATATGTGAAAAACGTTTTTATGTAACATCAGCTTTGAATAGGCACATGTATGTTCATACTCGGGCTCAGCCGTACAGTTGCGGTGTGTGTAAAAAAAGTTTTGATATTAAATATATGTTGAATACACACATGCGTGTTCATACTGGTGAAAAGATACACAGTTGTACTATTTGTAAAAAATATTTTTGTTCACAGTCATCTATGAAAAGACATATGTATATTCATGATAGTGAAAGGCCTATGTATATATGCGGCGTGTGTAATAAATATTACACTAGACGATCAGGTTTGAATTTGCATATGCGTATTCATACAGTAGATAAGCTATACAGTTGTGAGGTGTGTAAAAAAAGATTTACATCAGGACTACGTTTAAAACAACACATGTTTATACATACTAATGACCGGCCATATGTCTGTAATGTGTGTAAAAAGGCTTTTAATTTTAAAGCAAATTTGAAAATTCACATGTACATTCATAATGGGAATAAGCCGTATAATTGTGACCTGTGTACAAAATCCTTTAGCTCAAGTTATGGTTTAAAAAATCACAAGCTTACTCATACTAGTGAGAGACAGTATGGTTGCGATGTGTGTAAAAAAAGATTCTATACAACAAATGTTTTAAAAAAACACCTGCAATCACATACTGGTGTTAAGCCGTATGGTTGTGATGAGTGTAAAAAATATTATAGCACAAAAGCATTGTTGATAAGACACATACTGACTCATTCTGGTGTGAAGTACAGTTGTGATTTATGTAATAAATATTATTCTCGAAAAGAATGCTTGAAAATGCACATGCGTACTCATTCTGCTAACCCGTACAGTTGCGATGTGTGTAAAAAATGTTTCAATTCGCCTTCTTATTTGAAAATACATATGCGTATCCATACGGGTGAAAAACCATATAGCTGTGAAGTGTGCAAAAAGTTCTTTTTGACAGGACCAGCATTGAAGTTACACATGTCTAATCATAGCGATGATAAGCCGTACGCATGTGATCAGTGTAAAAGAAGGTTCGCTATAAAATCATTGTTAGAAAAACACATGCGTAGTCATACGGGCGAAAAGCCGTATAGTTGTGATGTGTGTAAAAAATATTTTTCGTGGCGATCAAGTTTAAGATTACACATGTTTGACCATACTGGTGAGAAGCCATTCGCTTGCGATGTGTGTAAAAAGCGCTTTACTATAAAACGATTGCTCATTACTCATATGCTAGGGCATACTAATGAAAAACCTTACTGTTGTGATGTGTGCAAAAAATGTTTTACATCAGGTAATACTTTGAGAATACACAAGCTAATTCATGCTGAAAACGGGTACAGTTGTGAGGTATGTAAAAAATCTTTCAGAACAAAAGCATATTGGAAATGCCACATGCGTGTACACACTGGCGAAAAGTTATACAGTTGTAATGTGTGTAACAAAGATTGTTTAACAGGTCAAGCTTTGAAACATCACTCGTTTGTTCATATCGATGACCAGAACAAGCCATATATTTGTGATATTTGTAAAAAGGGCTATGGTGAAAAATCTTTGTTGGAGACACACATGCGTATTCATACTGGTGAAAAGCCGTACGTTTGTGACGTGTGTAAAAAGTGTTATACGCTAAAATCCAGCTTGAGAACACATATGTCTAAACACAATGACTACAAGCCGTACGTTTGTCATATTTGCCAAAAATATTTTGGTGAAAAAAATGTATTTAATAAACATATACGCAATCACAGCCATAAGCCTTATTGTTGCGATGTGTGTAAAAAATGTTTTAGTTTAAAATCATCGTTGAACAAACATGCACGTTGCCATAAACGTAAAAAGTCGTATAGATGTGACGTGTGTAAAAAATATTTATCATCAGCAACTACATTGAAGACACATATGCTAATTCATACTGACCAGAACCGATACACGTGTGACGTGTGTAAAAAATGTTTCTGTGTAAAGTCGTATTTGAAAATTCACATGCGTCTTCATACTGGTCAAGAGCTGCATACATGTGAAGTGTGTCAGAAGAAATATTTGACCGAATATTCTATGAGACGGCACATCATGTTTAGTCATGCTGCTATATAATGTTTGTAAAACAGGTTTTGTATAAAAATAATTGTTGTATATTTTTTATTGTTATATACCTTTTCCTAAGTTGTTTGCGTGAACAGATTTGTCATATTACCTACCTTTACACTACACGTTCTGTTATGCAGCCCAGATGTCCGGTATCATTCAGCGATAATTAAAAATAATGAAAAAGTTACAAAAAAAATGGGTTTCTATTTTGCAGAGAATATAGAACTGTTGATTTTTAGTTTGTTATACTTTTTGGTTCAATTACGATTCTGTTGGTGTTCATTCAGAAAAGTTTAAAGGTACTTCTTGTAGTAGTTGTAAGAATTATTTCTATCATTAAGAGAATACGTAGTACCTAGGTTAATTTTATATTTATTGTTGTGTTTATTGATAAAAATATTAGTCAAGCTGCTTCTGGAATAAGTTTTTGTTTTTACAGCATTGTTAAATTTATTAGAATAATTGTATTTGGGTTAATTGAATTACATATATGAATGTTAGTTAAGGTTAATAAAAGTGCTGATGTTGCTTTTGCTGGACCAACTATAATAAGACTGAATAATAAAATAGTAGTATAGTTTATTACGAGGAATCTTTGTTGTAACTATTTTATTGTTAATATTTTTTTATGTTACTGATTTATATAAATGTTAATTAATGTTGTTAAAAATGTTGATGTATGGTAAACTATTGCTCACAAAAAAATCTCAAATCACAAAAAACATCCTGTTTTCTTTATTATGTGCAAATTTTGTTGTTAATATATTTCTAAGTTACGGAGTAATATATTTCTAAGTTACTATATGTATAAACGTTAATTAATACTATAGGTTGATTTATAGTTAACTATTGCTGGATTAGCAATAGTAAGCTGTTGTTTTGTATATATTATAAAAGTTTGTTATATTTTGTTAATTTTAATAAATTTATGAGTTACTGAGTTACCTAGATGTTGTTTAACTATTGATACTAGCGAATCGCGTGACTTTGACCTCACATAAGCGAACGAAAGCTCTCAAAAGGATATTTGGAAACTTTATTCGATTCCCAGCTTAACCGTACCTTTATGTCAGTATATAGATTGTATAATTTTCATCTATGGATCAATCATTAGCTATGCATATAAATTAAAATAATTTCTCAATTCGTTGTAGGTCCTGAGATTAGCCAGTTCAAACAAGCAAACACTCTTCAGTTTTATAATATTACTATCGGTGGGGGAATAGGATTATTTTTTTATTTTTTTTATTCTTTATTGCACTTTAAAAGAGTGTACAAGAGGCGAGCCTAATGCTATATGGCAATCTCTACCAGCTAACCTTTGGGTAGAATTGGTAGGATTGTTAATAATGTTATTGTTAACCTTATAGCTAATAACGTACCTTGTCAGGATGACCTCCAAACGGTTCTCCTTAAAAAACATTATCTATACATCTATACATATAAATAAAATTGGAGTGTCTGCTTGTAATATTGAAATAACCGTTTTTTACTACATGCATATGAATATAAATACGGTGCATATACCAAAATAACATTTCTGAAATCATCTGTCTGTCTATCTGTTTGTTCCGGCTAATCTCTGAAATGGATGGACTGATTTTGACGGGACTTCTTTTGGCAGGGAGCTGATGTAATAAGGAGTAACTTACGCTACTTTTACTTTCGAAAAATCCTCTAATTAACTTTTTTGTAAAATTCCACGCGGACGAAGTCGCGGGAACAGCTAGTGGGATATAAAATGCAAACTGGGATACAAAAGAAACGCTGTAATCAAGGTACATAAAGAAAGGTAGTGTAGGTATAAAAGTGATCGTTGAGAGTACGGATTGAGAGATTTAAGCATCATAATCGGAGTTTAAAACACGACAACGCACTTTAGTAATTATCAGAACGGCTTCCCGCCCGCTGAGTTCCACAGCCGTTATTATTACAGCCAGAAATGCACTATGACTGCATCTCGGAGCGGTAAACTGCATAAATATTATTGTCTTGTGCTGAAAAACAACGTTGCAGCGATACAGCAGCTGGAAATTCGTCCGCGTGGATATTTTTTCTAAAATAAAAGTAGCCTAAGTTACTACTTTTTACATCAGCTACCTGCCAAAAAAAGTCCCGTCAAAATCGGTCCCGCCATTTCAGAGATTAGCCGGAACGAACGGATAGACAGACAGACAATAATTGTATGAAATCTTATTTTGGTGTATGTACCGTATTTATATTCATATGCATGTAGTCAAAAACGGTTATTTCAATATTACAAACAGACAGTCCAATTTTATTTATAACACACTGTAAAACTATTGAATAAATTGGCCAGCGATTTAAAAGAAGAGCTTTATAAAAAAAAATTCAAAACAAAGCTTAAAAATATATTTATTATAAATTGCTTTTTTTCAATTTTTAATTACTGTAGCTCAATTCAGGATTTATGTGCATGTGCCAAATACTGTGTGTAATATTTTTATTTATTGATTTACTGTATTTTTAATGCATAAATTAAAAAAAATATATTGATATTCTGCAGTACACTTTATTTACTAGGTATTGTGCGAAATTTCATACTCTGGACAATTCACACATAGCACAATCTTATTAAAACAAGCTAGAGCTTGTGTTATGGGTACTAGACAACTGATGCAAATACCTAGATATTTTTTAAGTAATAATATGTCAGGAAAATTCACACCGCGCCAAGTCTCAAGCTAGTCAGAGCTTGTATTATGGGTACTAGACAGCTGATGCAAATACCTAGATATTTTTTAAGTAATAATATGTCAGGAAAATTCACACCGCGCCAAGTCTCAAGCTAGTCAGAGCTTGTGTTATGGGTACTAGACAGCTGATGCAAATACCTAGATATTTTTTAAGTAATAATATGTCAAGAAAATTCACACCGCGCCAAGTCTCAAGCTAGTCAGAGCTTGTGTTATGGGTACTAGACAACTGTGCAAATACCTAGATATTTTTTAAGTAATAATATGTCAGGAAAATTCACACCGCGCCAAGTCTCAAGCTAGTCAGAGCTTGTATTATGGGTACTAGACAGCTGATGCAAATACCTAGATATTTTTTAAGTAATAATATGTCAAGAAAATTCACACCGCGCCAAGTCTCAAGCTAGTCAGAGCTTGTGTTATGGGTACTAGACAGCTGATGCAAATACCTAGATATTTTTTAAGTAATAATATGTCAGGAAAATTCACACCGCGCCAAGTCTCAAGCTAGTCAGAGCTTGTATTATGGGTACTAGACAGCTGATGCAAATACCTGGATTTTTTTTTTAAGTAGTAATATCTCAGGAAAATTCACACCGAGCCAAGTCTCAAGCTAGTCAGAGCTTGTATTATGGGTACTAGACAGCTGATGCAAATACCTGGATTTTTTTTAAGTAGTAATATCTCAGGAAAATTCACACCGCGCCAAGTCTCAAGCTAGTCAGAGCTTGTATTATGGGTACTAGACAACTGATGCAAATACCTAGATATTTTTTAAGTAATAATATGTCAGGAAAATTCACACCGCGCCAAGTCTCAAGCTAGTCAGAGCTTGTGTTATGGGTACTAGACAGCTGATGCAAATACCTAGATATTTTTGTAAATAATAATATCTCAGAACAATTCACACAGCGCCATCTAGTCTCAAGGTAGCCAGAGCTTGTGTTATGTGTACTTGACAACTGTTTCAAATACCTGGATTTTTTTGTAAATAATAATCTCAGGACAATTCACACAGCGCCATCTAGTCTCAAGGTAGCCAGAGCTTGTGTTATGAGTACTTGACAACTGATATAAATACTTAGATATATTATGTAAATACATACAGCAATATCTCAGGACAATTCACACAGCGCCATCTAGTCTCAAGGTAGCCAGAGCTTGTGTTATGAGTACTAGACAACTGATGCAAATACCTAGATTTTTTTTAAGTAATAAATTCGCAGAACAATTCACACAGCGCCATCTAGTCTCAAGGTAGCCAGAGCTTGTGTTATGAGTACTAGACAACTGATGCAAATACCTAGATTTTTTTTAAGTAATAATATGTCAGGAAAATTCACACCGCGCCAAGTCTCAAGCTAGTCAGAGCTTGTGTTATGGGTACTAGACAACTGATGCAAATACCTGGATTTTTTTTAAAGTAATATCTCAGGAAAATTCACACCGCGCCATCTAGTCTCAAGGTAGCCAGAGCTTGTGTTATGGGTACTAGACAGCTGATGCAAATACCTAGATATTTTTGTAAATAATAATATCTCAGAACAATTCACACAGCGCCATCTAGTCTCAAGGTAGCCAGAGCTTGTGTTATGGGTACTAGACAGCTGATGCAAATACCTAGATATTTTTGTAAATAATAATATCTCAGGACAATTCACACAGCGCCATCTAGTCTCAAGGTAGCCAGAGCTTGTGTTATGGGTACTAGACACCTGATAGAATAATAACCATAGATCCAAAACTAATAAATAATAATATCTCAGGACAATTCACACAGCGCCATC